TTATCCGGGGACATGACAGACCGGCCCGGACAACTCCTGCCTCTCTGCAGACGCAGCACCAAACCACCCATCGATCCCCTGCTCCATCTTTCCCTCATTCGTAAACTGAGATACTTAAACTCTTCCACTTGAGGCAGGACTTCACCCCCGACCTGGAGAAGGTGTTCCAGCCTTTTCTGACTCAAGGAAATGGTCTCGGATTTAGAGGAGCTCGTCCCAGCTGCTTCACACTCGAACCACTCCAGTGAAAGTTGAAGGTCACAGTCTGATTAAGCCTACAGGATGACATCATCTGCAAAATCCAAAGACCTGGGGCCTCATTTATCAAGCTTGCTTACACACGAAACAGGGTCAGAAAACTGCATAAGCAACTTTCCACGCAAACTTTGGGATTTACAAAAGAAAACAGAGTGGAAAAACGTGCACAACTTTAAGTTGATTGAGGACCTGGCTTACACACATTTTGGACATGGAGAGCATCTGCAGTGCTGCTGCTGAGAAGATAAAATTATGAAATCCTGCAGCATTATCATTTGAACCGCTTCGTGCGCACACAGAGCAATCCTCACTTCTCAATCTTCTTCCATCTTCTCATCAGACCAGAGAATCTTATTTCTCACCATCTCGGGGTCCTTCAGGTGTCTTTTTTTAGCAAACTCCATGCAGGCCTTCATGTGTCTTACACTGAGGAAAGGCTTCTGATGAGCCACTCTGCCATTAAGTCCTGACTGGTGGAAGGCTGCAGTGATGGTTGACTTTCTACAACTTTCTCCATCTCCTCACTGCATCTCTGGAGCTCAGCCACAGCGATCTTTGGGGTCTTCTTTACCTCTCTCATCAAGGCTCTTCTCCCGGTAGCTCTGGGGAGGGTTCTGGATGTCCCAAACATCTTCTATTTGAGGATTATGGAGGCCACTGTGCTCTTAGGAACTTTTAGGGCAGCATAGATCTTTTGTAACTTTGGCCAGATCTCTGCCTCGCCACACTTCTGTCTCTGAGCTCTTGAGGCAGTTTCTTTGACCTCATGGTCCTCATCTGCTCTGACATGCATTGTGAGCTGTAAGGTCTTCTATAGACAGGTGTGTGGCTTTCCTAATCAAGTCCAGTCAGTGTAATCAAACACAGCTGGACTCCAATGAAGGTGTAGGACCATCTCTAGGATGATCAGGAGAAATGGAAAGCACCTGAGTTAAATATACCAGCGTCACATCAAAGGGTCCGAATACTTAGGACCATGTGATATTTCAGTTTGTCTTTTTTAGTAAATCTGCAGAAATTTCTGAACTTCTGTGTTTTTTTTTGTCAATATGGGGTGCTGTTTACATTAATGAGGAAAATTATGAATTTAATTGATTTTAGCAAATGGCTGCAATATAAAAATTGACCGGGGTCTGAATACTTTCGGTACCCGCTGTATAAATTTATCTCAGTCTTACATGAATTTGAAAATAGAAAATTGCCAATCCATCAGGTTTTTATACCTCCAACACATGCTTGTTTCTTCATTATTAGGACAAATAGAATTGGATGTCATCTACATAATGATATAGAAAATATTTTTATGTTTGCTGATTATGACGCATGTCCGTCCATCCATCCATTCATTTTCGGCCGCTTATCTGGGGTCGGGTCACCAGGACAGCAGCCTAGGCAGAGAGATCCAGACTTCCCTCTCCCCAGCCACTTGGACCAGCTCCTCAGGGAGAATCCCAAGGGCGTTCTCTGGCCAGATGAGAAACATAGTCCCTCCTGAGTCTTTGGCCTCCTCCCAATTAAACGTACCCATAAAATCTCACCAGGAGGCATCCTAATCAGACTCTCAAGCCACCTCAACTGGCTCCTCTCGACGTAGAGGAGCAGCAGATCAACTCCGAGCCCCTCGCGGATGACCGAGCTTCTCACCCTATCTCTAACCCAGACACCCTGTGGAGAAAACTCTTTTTGGCCGTGATCTCGTTCTTTCGGTCACTACCCAAAGCTTGTGACAGTAAATGAGGGTTGGAACGAAGATTAACCGGTAAATCGAGAGCATATGTATGTTGATTGATGGCAACTCCAAAGGTAGCACCAGCATCTTCTGATGTGGATGATGGTAAAAGTTAAGCCACTACAGCAGGATTCTTGACTGATTTGAAAGATAAAATAGTTGAGATGTGACTGAAAAGTTGTGTGTTTGGCTGGGGACAGGTGAGGAGGACACTAAACAGAATGATCATGGCTCTGCTCTTCCTCCCTGACCACGCAGCTCTTAGAGTGTTCTGCTGGAGCCTGACCTCCAGTGTTTTCCCTGCATGCCTCCTTGTTTCATCTCCCGTCTTTGAGTTGGTTTTTGTATAATTCCTAAAGATTCCTCGTCTTCTCACTGGACTCTTTTTTCTTGTTGACAGTTCATCTGTGATCCAGGGTTTGTTACTGCTTTTGTGTCAGCACTGAAAGCACCTTTTATTTTCCCCAGGCGTTTACATTTAAATCATCTTGTTGCACCTCATCAAATTGTTCATGATGTCTCTTCAAATGTTTACCAGCATCTAAACCAAAATGCTATTTCTAAAGTTCTTCTACTTGTTAATTTGTTTGGTGCCATTCTCTTGCCCTCGCCATCTCTGCTGGCCCTCTCTGTTTACTCTTATCTCCTTCACAGCTGTGTTTTGTTGCTTGTAGTCTCGCTGTCTTTAAAGGCCAAGGTAAGAGTACAAGCAGTCACCTGTCATCATTAATTAAAGCTTATGAAGGCTGACTGGTGCCAGGGAATAATCCTACTCGCCAGCCGCCTGGGACACAGCCTCCATAGTGACCTTGTGTTGGATTTTACTCTGAGTATGGGATAGGAGTAGTGGGTGTGGCACAGCCATGCAGCCACAACTGTGCGCAGCCTTCTTAATCCCTAACATAAAGACCATTGTACTCAGATTAGATCACTATCAGGTCACTAAACTTTCCAAAGGTCTTCGCTACCCTTCACTGTATGCTTTGTGAAAATCATTTTTGTGTTTTTTTAGTGTTGGACTCATAGTGAATGTTGTTGATAACGGAGAATTTGAGTCAGGCATAGCAGTGGAGACCATGGACATCTCCTTCAGAGGCAGACTTCAACTTAGTTTATGCTTGACGCATTCACTTTCCGCTTGGTGATGCGGCTCTCGGATGGAACGCGCTTCACAACTTGCAGCATTTATGGTTCGTGCGGCTTGTCTCTGCGGTGAGCCAATATTCTCCCAAACTGTAGGGGGCAGCATGGAGCTCTACGGCATGCATCCAACACTACACCATAGTAGAAGTAAAAATTACTGTTTACAACATGGTATTCCAGCATTTTTTAACAGCGTCCTCATCTTTTCCGACAGTGCGAGCTATTTCTCTCCAAGAATTATTAACAACATGTTGATCACGGTGATCTCTGAGAGCTGAATCATACAAATGTCTGTATTTACGAACCTTTGCCATACTAGTTCTTGCCGGTCCGCCATGTTTTTCCACGTCCGACCGTCTGCGTGGTTAGAAAATGTCCTAGGTGCGCGGTGCGGAAAGTTTGGGCCGTGCGGAGGCGCGGTGGAGGGGCGTGGTTGTTAAAATGACGCAAGTTTGCCGAGCGGAGCCGTGCGAACCTCGCGGACGCGTCAAGCATAAACCAAGCTTGAGACATCCTAGATGTAAAACAGAACGCTACCGTAGGTCATTCATCGCCTCTGCAGCAAGAGTGTTTAACTACTCAGTGTAACTGGTACTGGCATTATCCTGGTACACAATAACGCCAATGCAATATTCAGTATGTGCTCAATAACTGTGCAGTACCTGATGTACATCAGTATGTCTGTGTCTCTTGAGCTGCTTAGTTCTGGAAACACAAGTTTTCTTTTCTTTTATTCTTTAATTTCTTTAGTGGTTGAAGGTTACAATAATAGCTTACTGCCTTTGTGTGTTTTTACCTGCAATCTTGTTGTTATTTTCCTCTTCATGTTCTCTAAGTGTGTCTGCTGCTGTAGCAAGTGAATCTCCCCACTGCGGGATTCATAAACTGTAATCTATAAATAAATGCATTCTATTCCATTCTATTCTATTCTATTCTATTCTATTCTATTCCATTCCATTCTATTCTATTCTATTCTAAAGCATTCTTGCTGAGAAGGAAGTGACTCAGAATCTCTATCTCCTGAACGTCAGCGTGGAAGTCAGAAAGTTGAATAGGCTAATACTAAATCATGTAAAGATACCATCAGCAGTTGGTGTTTCTGAAAGAATGCCTCAGCTGTGGAGCTGCACCACTTCGTCATTTTTGAAAGGACGTATCTCAGGCGACAGAGCTTCCTGTGACTGCATTAAAGCATGGACATACTTCGAACACCAATATGACTTTCAGCCTAAATTTCAGGGGCATTGCTAACTTTAGCCACACACTGTGAACTGCAAAAGACAAAATAATGTCTCTGATGATAAATTCATGGTTCAAAATGTTAATAATCTCTCGAGATCTACCATTTATAAACAGCTTTGCTTTGATTGTAGGTACCACCATTAAAAAACCGTAGATATGTGTTCACTCCGACATAAGAGACAGTGGTTTTACTTAAAGCCATTTCCTTTTCAGTTTGTTTCTTTTGACGCCCTATACCCAAACTTTTTCTTACATTGCTAGCTCTGATCCTTAAGCGTGGTGAAAAAGCCCAACAGAACATTGTTTTACAGCCACATGAGCAGCTCAGTGAGGTTTTACTAATAAAGTACAACAGCGAGTCATTAAAGGCAGGTACTGAGGACTTTTACTCTGTCTTTGCAATTTAAGCCTTAGCCAATTAGCACAGAACTCTGCTACAGCTGACCGATGAATCTCTGCCAAAGGAAGAACAAATCTAAGTGTGACTCAATTGTGGGAAAATGTTGAACTAGTGAGTTTCTTACACCTGTCAAGTGTTCAGTGTGAATGAAACAGGTTTGCTAAAAGGCTGGTTTTCATCTGAAGTCTATCTGCCTGATGTAATTCCTTCTTCCTCTCTGTTTTCCAGATCCTTGCAATTATCTCCATCCTCTTCATTGTGCTGTCCACCATCGCCTTGTCTCTCAACACCCTTCCAGAGCTGCAGGACACGGATGAGTTCGGTCAGCCCACGGACAACCCACAGCTGGCCCATGTGGAAGCCGTGTGCATCGCCTGGTTCACCATGGAGTACCTGCTCCGCTTTCTCTCCTCGCCCAACAAGTGGAAGTTCTTTAAGGGTCCTCTGAACATCATCGACCTGTTGGCCATTCTGCCCTACTATGTCACCATCTTCCTGACCGAGTCCAACAAGAGCGTGCTGCAGTTTCAAAACGTTCGCCGTGTGGTTCAGATCTTTAGGATCATGCGGATTTTGCGAATCCTGAAGCTGGCTCGCCACTCCACGGGTCTTCAGTCACTAGGCTTCACCCTCAGGAGGAGCTACAATGAGCTGGGCCTGCTTATTCTATTCCTGGCTATGGGAATTATGATATTCTCAAGTCTAGTGTTCTTTGCAGAGAAAGATGAGGAGGACACCAAGTTTAAGAGCATACCAGCCTCCTTCTGGTGGGCCACCATCACAATGACTACTGTAGGTTATGGAGATATTTACCCAAAAACGTTGCTGGGAAAGATAGTTGGAGGTTTGTGTTGTATTGCAGGTGTGCTGGTCATAGCCTTACCCATCCCCATCATTGTGAATAACTTCTCTGAGTTCTACAAAGAGCAGAAGAGGCAGGAGAAAGCCATCAAAAGGCGAGAAGCTCTGGAGAGGGCAAAGAGAAATGGTAGCATCGTCTCTATGAACATTAAAGACGCGTTTGGTCGTAGTGTGGAGCTCGTGGACGTGATGGTAGAAAAAAGTGATGAACGGAGAGAAAAGCTGCATGATAATCATGTGTCTCCTCATAGAGAGACCCCCAAAGTCAAGTCACCCATCAATCCCAGCAGCCCCACCAAGACCATTGAATCAAGCAACCAGGAGAAGGACAAGCCCTCCAGCAGCCCTCAGCATCTCAGCGCACAGACACTTGAGGAGATGTACAACAAGATGACCGAGGGGCAGTCACAACCTAACATCAACAGCAAGAAGAAGATGCTGCACTCCAAAGCAGGAAGGCAGAAAGCTGAGTTTGAGATGGGAAGCATCCCGAGTGAAGCTGTCTCTGGTACGGCAGAGGCGGTGTCAGACATGAAGAGCATGTCCAGCATCGACAGCTTCATCAGCTGTGCCACAGACTTTCCCGAGAGCTCTCGCTTCTCCCAGAGTCCCCTCAGAAAAATTTCAGGGCGGGTCAGTACCAACCCTAACCTGGAGCCCACCCTGGAAAATGAACAAGAAGGATCACATGGTGCCGCTACGCCCAAGCTCAGCCTGAATTCTGACAGCAGACAGCCTAACAACCCAGCCAAAGGCCGCCCTGAGAGGATCAGAGGCGCTGTTCTGTCAGACAGTTCATCAGTCCAGAGCCCTGAGACGTCCGCCTACACCACCGCCAGCAGCAGGACGCTCAACAAGAGCCCTGAGAATTTACTGCCCGCCATTTTCACGTTCCATGACTCATCCATCAATAAGTTCATTGATGCCGACACGGATGAGGAGGAGCACCTGCACGATGGTTCAGGGACCAATGCAACCCAAAGACTTTTGGAGAAGACCAGTCCTAAGTTTGGTCATGTCTCCAGCTTTCAGCAAGGTCCCAACCACATGGAAGGCCTCTCCAAGAAGCTGGGGAACAGCAAAAGGCCTTCTGAAGGGCAGGAGAACCACGTGTCGCAGGAGCTGCAGCCACTTCAGGGAGAAAAGAGTCATTCCAACACTTAAACTTATGAAAACGGATCCCAGAGAGAAGGACGGGACATAGACAACAAACCAGGTGCACAGAGAACAGCAGCAGGAACATTTAAAAGATCTTGACTTTGGAGAAAACTTTGTGTTCAGCTCTGAAACTCCCTGACCAGTGACTCCTGGCTTAATCAAGCAAATCTCACAAAATGAAACTAATTAAACAGAACTTGAGGATTTTGGTTTTTTGTTTTTACAATCAATACCTTCTTTTAATCCAGATTTTACTCTAATGATCAGACTCCCGCTGTGGGAGTGGAGTACATTGTTTTTATAAGGAAGAACCTACTTATCTGATCCCACTTTAAAGCAGCAGAGGCTGTCAGATCAGTAGTGACGCATAAAGGGCACAGGAACTAGGAAAACACACACGTTCGTTCTCCAACACTGCTTATTTATAAATAGTGTGTTTCACAAAGATGTAAAACGGAGTTTAGTTTGCTTCCTTTAACTTCCTGTTCTGAAACTGGCCTTAGTTCACGTCGTCCAGAGTGTGTGTGTGAGTGTGTGCGTGCGTGCGTGTGTGTGTGTGTGTGTGTGTGTGTGTGTGTGTGTGTGTGTGTGTGTGTGTGTGTGCGTGCGTGTGTGTGTGTGTGTGTGTGCAATATTTACCCTTTACCTATAGTCTATTTATGGTTATGTAGCAATAGTGGTCTCTCATCTGGCATCTGACCTTTAGCAGGATTAAGTGTTTTGGTCGGATTCTTGTCAACAGTTTAGCGTCTGTTCCAGGTCGACATCTTTACTGCACAGATTACAGAGAAGACACTGTGAGGTCAAATCCATCATTTTCAAATCTGTTGTTCCTGACTGCTGGGGAGAGAGAGAGAGAGAGAGAGAGAGAGAGAGAGAGAGAGAGAGGAGGGGGGGGGGAGGGCATTTAAAGTAAAACCTGAGGACCTGTCGGTGAGCCTGTTTGTGTTTGTGTCTGTTTGCATCCTTGAGATTGTTTATTATTGGGTTTTTTTTTGGGTTTATTTTGTTGTTATATTATTTTCAAAGAAAGCCAGTTTTTCAAGCAGCTGTAGCGGACAAACTGAATTCTGCATCAGGCATTGACGCTTCCCTGGAGCTGGGGAAAAAGGCAGAGACAATCCCAGACTTCCTGTTGTCCTTCTGGTTCTGCAGGAGCGTGAATATTGTATAGAGCAAGACCTGCTACAATGGTACACATTAACTGTACTAAAGTTAAAATTATTTATATTTGTAAGATATTTTCTAAAATAAAAAATAAACGGACTCTTAGATGTTGTGCTAACCTCATAGTGCTGCATACTGTATGTGCTCATTTATGGAGTTGCATTTGTTAGACCATATCCTACAGTAGGTACATTTATAGAGGTTGCTACTGTCTCCCTGTCGTTGTCTTCTGTGCAATGTGAAGAACCAAAGAATTATTTGTTTTATGGCACATGGTTGTATGTTTTAATGTCTCATCTCAAACATGTTTGAGGAATTCTTTCTAGACCCTGAAATCAGTCGTATTTCAGGAAGCTGTGCTTGCTCATTCAGGAGAATTCCCCGGTGCACAAATGTTAGCGCTTTGATGGAGGATCTAAGTCACAAAAAGGGAAGACTGGGGCAAAAGAAAATGGTTTGTTTACATTTCAAAGGCTAATTTCATCATTTAGATGCTGTGATTCATGTGAAAAGAAATCTAAAACATTAGACACATTTTTAACATTTTCTCTGCAGCCACTGGTGCAAACACACAAGCAGAAGAAACATGATGAGGTCATCTTAGTCCAGATTAACACTTTGCATTCTGATATTTTTATGCATTCAATTAAAAACCCAGTCTGGTGCTCTGTCGTCTTACTGACTAACTTTGCAGCGAATCATGCAAGCGTGTCACAAAGCAACCCTTTAAGCAGCTGAGGTATTATGTGTAGTTATTAATGTGCAATAATCTCACTTAGACATTTCTGTGCCTTCGCTTTGAACAAACCTGCTCGTTGAGTTGGCCCTAACAGAGTCCAAATTGCCCCGTCACACTCACAGCTCTTTCCTGTGATGTCTTTCTTGTGCACTTAAAATGCACCAAACATTTACATTTAAAAAAGCCTCGTGCACAAGCAGGCGCAGAGTCACTCAGCGTCGAGGGAACGACTGCTGTTTCCATGGTGATGGTTGAGATGACTGGATGGTTCAAGTTTGATGCATGCAAGTTGGCAGATTTGTGGAGAACGAGGACTTACCGTCTTCGTTTTTATTTATTCATTCACTCACTCGGCTCAGCAGCTCGCCTGCATGCCGAAGCCTAGAGTAAACAGAAAACTGGATTGTGTGGCTGCTCTCTCACAGTGCTGCATCATCACGTTCATTCCATCTGTGGGACTCGCAGGAACATCTCAGCACATGGCTGAAGGACAGACCGTACTTGGCTGTCCACTAGCTGCTCCAGGAAGCAGGAGGGGAGCAGAGTTTTCAGCTGGACTGGTGACACCCTGAAGGACTGGCCTCCAACCTCTGCCTGAAAAACTCTGTAGAAATATTGTATAGATCATTTCATGTGGACTTTTGAGGAGAGTTTATAGATCACCTCATGGCCTCCGTTTGGAGAAACAGGTTCTGGCCAGATCGACAAGCTAAAGAGCTACTCCTAAAAAACAACATAGATTTTATGATAAAATGCCAGCAGCTGGGGTTGCCGGAATGGTACTGTAAAATTACGGGCAAAACCTTTTTTTTTTCCTTTTATGGTAAGAAGGTATTTTTATTGTTGTTTTTAAGATTAAAAATGGCACTGAAGTTGATATTTTACTGTAGGAAAAAAAAAACATGGTTTGACCGTAAAATGAACGTGGAAACAATCTTAAACTTAGACTTGAACCACTAAAAACAAAATTCAAAGGGTTTTCCTCATTATGTACAAAAAATTCATAGAATTAAATAACCAATTAACTGCCAATAGGGTCATAACCAATTAAAATAGCGTTGCTCGTAATGATGTGACATTCACGAACGAATCAAATCTTTTGAACGGGTTTTCAAAGTGAAGGATGAGAGCCGAGTCCCTGTAGAGCGCCGTTCATCTTGGATTCTGGTAACAAACCTCCCAGGAATTCGATAAAGCGCACCCACCGTTGTGAAGGACGTAGGAGGAACCCTAACCAACGCTGTGTGCCCTCACGAACACCGCAGGAACACGTTGCTCTTAAAACCTTCTCCCTCGCTCTCTTGGCTTCACTTAGTTCAAAGGAGCCAGTCTTTTGAACGGCTCTTTGAGGTAAACGACCGACTAACGAATGGCTCCCATGAAAGAGCCATACATCCCATCACTAGTTGATAAGATAAAATGCAATTTTACAATAGTCATTAGTTTTTGTTGGTCTGGAATTACTGTTAAGTCACACAGTCAGTTTCTCAGTCCAAGAGGTGTCGACCAAAAACCTACACACTTAACCTTTTTATTCCCTACAAGTACTGTTAATCAATTTCTCAAATCGAGGGGTTCCACTAAGCCCTTTCCCTTTCAGCCACTAAAAGTGACACGGTCCAGAGTTCAAATTATATTTGTCACCAGATACCAGGAATTAAATATTTGGTCAGTGCTTAACCCTTTTGATGCATGAATTATGAAATCTTCAACCATGATTTTTTAACAGATACTTTCATTCATCTTTCATCTTTGGGTGTGAATGAAACAAATTTCAACAATATTGTTTGTAACATTTAATAATTTGCATATAATTTACTACATGTCCACCACAGTGGACAGCGTGCATTCTGAACATGAAATATGTTGGCTGGACTTACTGAAGTCCACATGGAGGGGCTCAAATGCAATAAAGTCTTCAACAGCTGTGCTTAATAGCAAAAACAAATAAGTAAATTACAATTTTGAGAACCTGTCCACTGTAGTGACACCTTTGGATCAAGGAGTTAATTTCTCATTTTTATGTTCTAGTTTAAGTTGCCTTTGAGGCCTCGACCGATAAGACCTTATTAGCTCAGAGCACAGCAGCTGTTGTTTGGGTTATTTTGAGCCTGGCTGTGCTGTCTCTCTGTTTCACATCTTCAACCCTTTTTTCTCTCCACCGCTCTGTGCTTCCTCATAAGCATAATACATTTGTGACACGTCAGCGGTTATCAAAATCACGTTTTCCATCAATTATCTGATCATTTTCAGATCATTTCCACACTTCCTGGATTGACATTTCCATCAATGTACAATATTTACTCAAAAGGTATTTTGTGAGTTCTTATTTCCCCATATAGACACCACACTGTCTCTTCTTCGGCATGAGGTCAGATTTAGGCTCACGAATCTGCCCTCCAACAGTGTCTCTAAACACAGCAGGACTCACTTATCAGCCAACCAGTTTAAAAGTCTGACCACCAACTTGAGACGTGTGCAAATGATTTGCCATATCCTTCTTTTTACACAAATAAGCAAGTCCAGACACTCACTCAGTCATTCGAACAACAATTAAAGCAGACAACATGAAACAAACAACACAACAACAAAAGATAACTGGAGCCTGTTTCTAATTCTCCGGCAAAATGCTCAAAACCAAGCCAAACTCAGACAGCATTCATAGAATCTGTCAAAACATCACTTCAGGCGAACAACACCAAAATTTCAATCTCAATAGTTATCACACCGGTTTACTTTTTACCTTATTTGTTACACCAGAGCTGCATTTCCACTTAAGGCCAAAATGCACAAAACCAAGCCAATACAGCCTTCCGGGAATCTGTTTACCAGATTTTTCACTCAGTTTTCTGTAAGATAACTAGAGCAGGCAATCTCAATAGATATCATACCGATTTATCAAAATTAGAGTAGCATTTCTATTCCAAAACGCCCAAAACCCAGCCATTACAGCTTTCCAGGAATCTGTTCACACATCCTTTCACAGTGGATCAAACCAATGTATCTCTGGTCACCTAGGATTTTCTCTCGGTACCACAAAGACAAAACAAACAACAAACTTGTCTCACCAAATCTCTCCACTCAGGTCTTGGGTTCGTAGATCCGCATTCTCCCAGCGATGTCAAGACCCTCACACTGGCCTCCCAGCGAAAGCTCAGCGCTGGAGGAAATTCAGGTTGTTGACAGTACTCCGGCGTCGGCTCTTGGCGTCACAAGGTGATGGGACCCCGGCTCTCAAAGGACCAAATTATGTCATGGATTTTATCAGTATGTTTACCAATAACCCGTTTCCTGATCGAAGAGGAGAGACACATTAAGCAACAAGTCAACCAGTTATAACTGTGGCATATGCACGAGGCAAAATGCCCCGAACATCTGGTCACAGACTTTATTTAAACAAAAATATAAGAAACAAATAGGAGTGAGGGAGAGAGAGAGATTGTGTGTGTGTGTGTGTGTGTGTGTGTGTGTGTGTGTGTGTGTGTGTGTGTGTGTGTGTGTGTGTGTGTGTGTGTGTGTGTGTGTGTGTGTGTGTGTGTGTGTGTGTGTGTGTGTGTGTGTGTGTGTGTGTGTGTGTGTGTGTGTGTGTGAGTGTGTGGAGTCAAGAATATGTGTGTGTGTGTGTATGGGAAGAATAGTGTGTGGGTGTGTGAGTGTGAGAATGCTTCAGGACATTTGTTAACAGGATTAAAGCAATGAAATATAAAATTTTTGTAACAAAACTTTATGGAAATTTTCAATTAAAAAACAATGCAAGAGTGCTTCACAATAGAATTATTTTCTACAAAGAAAAAATGTACAAATTGCTGTTTTCACCAATTAATCTGCATACGGCAACGTCACTTAAATCAACAGTTTTACATAGTTTTATATATAGAGAGCGTATGTAAGCTGCCATACTAGACCATTATTTCCGCTGTCCGGTTTTATACTTCCATTTCTGCTACTTTGTGCGGTAACTAGCGTAGCTTTAAGCATTAAGACTGAAATCACCACAAAGAGAGTTTATGTTTGTTGGTTTAACTTTAATAATAAAAAGCCCACAGAGCTACACCCCGATCCGGAGCTGTATCTGGGTCATGACCAGCCCCCACCACAGAAAAGAAGAGGCTCAACCGGAATGCCGTGAGTCAGACGGCTTCCAGCAACATAGACGAAAATACAGATTCTGTACCTGACATGTGAAACTTAATGTAGCTTGTCCCCGTTTCACATTTCATTGATTAACTTATTCGATAAATACTAAATAATGCTAAATAATAGCTCATGATGAATGATGTTAGCATCATGGCTAGCTGGCTGGGTGTTGGCATGTCTGTGAGAAGTGACGAGTGAGGCACTGTTGATGAACTGTCCTCGCTGCTTTTTAAAGCATCTTTACAGTGTATCCACCACCCATGTGTCGCCATTAAAAACAGGTGAAACAGCAAATGTGCAAACAAGCAACCATAAACAACACAGCAAGCGGAAGTAACAAAAAGTCTTCCGCTATGAATCATGGGGATGGGTGTGAAGCCAGGAAAACTGTGGATAGTTGACGGGATTTTCCTGTTATGGTTTTACGGTTTATCACTGTTAAATATCAGTGACTTGATGCAATTTGCTGGGTTCCTTATATAGGAAACATTATTTCTGATTGGCTTAATGAACTGACCTGAATTGGAATGTTTATTATGTGAAGTGCCTTGAGACGACTCTTGTCGTGATTTGGCGCTATATAAATAAACTTGAATTGAATTGAAATATACATCTATTTTTTTACAGTGTAATCTGAGCAAAATCCTGATAGAGTATTTAAATTGTAAAACAACTTATCAAAAATGAGTTGTACAAATACAACAAACAAGTACTGTTTTAAAAACTTTTAATTATTCTTTAATTCCAAATTACTCGATAATTTACATGGAGTTTTGTGGTTGCAAACAGTTAGGAGTAAAAAGGAATATTTCTGCCTAAATAATCACTTAAAATAAAAAAAATATAGGTGACACAAATAACATTTACATGATTTTATTTGGCATTTTTGAGACTAGGGCCCAATCCCAATATTCACACTGTGCCCTAGTGTCTTCTGTGAAGTGCACTTGCCTAATTGGGACAGGGAGCATTGCGTCATCAACCACAACTCATATCCAGGATGCAGGTCGTGTGTTTGTGCTACTTTAAAAAAAAATAACAACTTTCAAACAAACAATTCTTTGACAAAATTGACATGCATTGCTGTCCATTTAATCTTTGTCTAAAATATTCCCAGCATGAATAAATATCATTAATCGTCTTAAAATGAACTTCTTTTATTTGAAAATACACATTTTAGGAATAGGCAGTTGAGACTTTGCTCCGCCTTCTTCTCAAAATTTCCACGCAGCATTGCGAGTTATATCCTTTGGTGATCGATGTGGACTTCGGCGAAGTGCAAATCAAGGATGCAAAAGGGGCGTGGTCAATTTCCGCACTTAAGAATCAGGACACCCTACGTACTCGAAGCCCTGGACGGGATCGCATTGAAGGGTGCAAGGGTGGAAGTGTGAGTATTGGGTTTGGGCCTGAATGCTTGCACACTTCAATCTGCACCCTGCCCAGACTAGCCGTTAGCTTGTCAATCAGGTGAGAACTAATCGTTTCCTCCAAACTGAGGTTCACTCAATGCAGAATCTCACAAAACTCTCTGCTTATGTTTTTAGCTACTTTGAGGTCAGAGGTGAAGTGTTCCTCACACAAAACAATTAAAAAAACGAATTAATGTCTCCCCCATTACTTGTGTTTTCATCTGAGAATAGCCGGGCTTGAGGCTGAGATCTTTTATGTTTTGGCAGCATGACAGAGCTGAGATGAGCCTCCTATTGAGGTTGTGTTCCTATCTCTGATTCTATAAATATTGCTCTGGGCCAACAGGAAAGGCTCAGTTACAGCGGTCGCTTCAGTACGCTGGTGTCATGCTTTCTGAAGAACAAACTTGGTAACAGAATCTGCCGGGAACTTCACAGCCACTGGTAAAGTAAATGCAGTAAATGACATATCTTTGAAATGGAGCTTCTAGCAGACACAGCTCTTCGTGTTGGGATGTTTTTGTCCTTATCGCTTTTTCTCTAGATTTGTTTCTGAACTGCACTTAATAGATTTATCTGAATACTTTTCTGCTGTGTGTCGACATCCACGTGACAGAAAACATCAAAAAGCCCATGTTGACACATAATTTGGCATGTCTGGAGCTTTCCCTCCTCTGAGCGGACACAGCTCCGAGCGCCGCTCACACTCAAGTCTGGATCCAAGTTTGCTTTGTGAGCCTGAGTTTGTAAGATGATGTATGTGCAGTTTTTTTTATTTCCATCACATGTAGCGCTAATAAACTTTGACACACTGAATTTGTAAATATTCCAAACAAAAACAAAGCTTTAGGAAAGTGTTGACAATTAGCAATTTTGGAGCATTTTCCCTTTTCTTTACCTGATGCTTAATAGAAGAGTAAAGCTCAATGATGGCGTCCTGCTGTTAATCACAAATCACTCGTCTGGTACAACACCACCCTCTTGTGTTATAACTCAGCATCACAAACGTCGTCCTTATTCTGGCGGATCTGGTAAAATAACCTCTTCATGACATTTAGTCCAGCAAAGCCCACAGAGAACATAAGCTGATGTGCAGTTATTGTACGTTTGCAGCTAAACTCGAACATTCTCAACAGCCTCCTGGTGGATCTGTCGCTCCGTAGAGCGTTTGCTGCAGTTTTTAATAGTTTTATCACAGCAGCAGCAGAAGAGCTGCGATGTGTGATACAGGAGATCCACTCTTCATCAACAAGTAGAACTACTGATATTTAATCTAATGATCAAATGGATCACATTTAATCTGTAAAAAGGCATGGAATCTGGATTACATTCGGAATCTGCTGGATGCAGGGCTGCTCCTCCGGTCCCACTGTGTGCCTGATATGAACCACTAATCAGTGTGAGTGATCACCTGTGTCACCTGAAATATGCTGCAGAGAACCTGACTCTTTACTGAATAAAGGGAGCAAAGCATCTAAAGGAAGTCACAGATGAAAAGAGCAGATCTATACAAGTGCCTCTTTATTCACAATAACGATACCAAAAAAAAAGAAATCGGAGAGCTACATGCAACAACCGGATGCATCAGGTTTACAGCCAGACTGAGCACAAAAACAAATGTTCCTCTGCTGCTAATGAAACCACAGACCTGCGTCAGACCCAAAACACTTTCAGCATCTTCTAAATGTTTTAGGGCCAAAGAAACCTCAGTGATGGTGATTATGTGAGTTTTTGGTCACGCCTTTTTAAAATCCTTTAAAATGTTTCCACCATAGAACACAGCAGGCATAACATCATTTCTCTGGTCGTCCACGACAGTCGTAACAGGTCGTGTGACCCGAGGCTGCTGTGTTTGATGGTCTCCGACCAACTCGTCATCATCATCAGCAGCAGCAGCTTCAGACCAGCTGAACAGTGGCAGCCTGTAAGTATCCCTGCAGGAACTGAAGGGCTTCTGCATTCATACTGGTGCTCAGCATCGATGGAACCTGCACCACAACCAGACACAAGGGGGCGACGTTTACTTTTACTTCTCAAAACCAGTTTAACCACATTCCCATCAACCCTCCCAGTTGGTCTGTACGCACCCTTCCAGGACAGGCGGTAGACAGCTTGTGAAGCGACTGGGCTAGCAGGATCTTGGGATTTCCGACTGCGTCTCCGATTGGGTCGTGCTCCTTTTTTCCAGCGAAGGCCAGCTGTGAGAAAGCCGTCTGATAGCCGGGCGTGTCCTCGATATCGATGAAGTGCTCATCGTCTGGGATGCTGTCGTCTTCTGGTAACTCAAACAGCCCGATGAGAGCCTGGAGCAGCGGGGTCCTTCACAGAGAAGAAAGTTTTAGTAACTGAAGCGAGTAAAGGAGGCGGAGCTACAGCCTCCGCCTCGGGAAAAGGGCTCTTACCAGAGTTTGGTGTACTCCGTGTCCATCATGGCGGGACACTCTGTGAGGATCTTAGTGATGCCAACAGCACAAATCTTCTTCTCTACTATCCCAGACACCTTCTGGACCTCTGGGATAATTATTTTCTCCAACACCATGCCGAACATCCTGCAGGTGAAGAATTTTTATCAGTTCTGAGCAAGAAAACACAAATATTCAGACAAGCAGCACACTCAGACATTACACATAACCACAAACATGACTGATCTCATCGTTTAGAAAAGGGTTTAAAATCCAGACTACTATCTGAAAAGCATCCCTTTGCTTTCCATGTGGGTGTTCCTTTATTCGGAGCAGCTGTGAGAAAATATCAGCCCATAAACAGCTTCATGTCCTTGTAAAATGTGCAGAAAAGGGTTTATTTAACTCCACTTACTTGGGCTGAATGCTGTCAAAAATCTCCTGAAGGGCAATCGCACCGTATTTGACACAATAGAGGTTGACAAACACCAAAAAACCTTTGGGGGGGGAAAAAAATTAAGTATTACACTGATTAGTCCCATAATGGCGGATCTGCACCAAGCCACCAAAACCTCAGAAAAAGACAGAAGTTGTTGTAGACAAGTTCCTACTGACTTTTGATGAACTTGGTGGTTTTAGAGCTTTGGAGCCTCTGGAAGAGTAAAATGAAGATCTGTTTCCTGTACTGGATTATAGACTCTCTGGCAAAGTCAAAGGGAAAAACACAATTAATGACAACAATCCCTAAATTAAAAGTTGTTCAAAAGCTGTTCCTTTACTCACGCTGGCATGTGCTCGATGATGCTGTTGAGGAGGTAAAACCCTTGGTGGTCGTTGGCCTTGGAAGCAATAAGCTTTTGGAAAACTCCAAGTAAGCCGGGCTGAAAGCAAAGCACAAGTAGGGTAAGATTTATTCTACAACGCATAAACAAAACTGGTGATTTCTCCACAAGCGTGTTTACTTACCACTTTATCTGCAGCAGAAGTGGCTATGGTGGCACCTCCCTTCTCCAGGTAAGCTTGGAGCAGGCGCACGAGAGGGGGGATGTTCCCTGTTCGTTCCCACAGGACCGGCTGCAGCAGGTGCGGGAATAACGCCATGTAAGATGCAGGAATAGAGTTGGAGTGGATCTCCAGCAGGAGAGACATCACCTGGAACACATACGGAAGAAACTCTGCAGAACAAAGAGAATAAATTGAGTTTTCCTTCCAGCTGAGAGGGATTTTGTCTCCCCAATGTTAGCCAACACACCCTGGACATCGTTCTGGAGTATCTCAGTGAAGACTGGGAAGAGGGCTTCCTCGAAGCTGCTGACTGTGGCGGGGTTGGCCTTGCAAGTGATCCTCACTGACAGACACAGGGACTCAAACAGGTAGTGGTTGAAGTGAGGTTTGCTGGGATTCTGAAAGAAGATGAATGGATATGTGTGTGTTCCACCCACACAACAAGCAGTGTGGGAAATCTCCACAGCATCCCACATAAACGGTTACCTTGCTGACTAACAGCAGCTTCTGAGTGAGCTGACCAATCAGAGTGGGGATGTAGGGAACGATGGCCTCCTGCAGCAGGGAGAAGCTGCGCATGATGGCTTTAGAAATGGAGGAAACACAAATGAAGACGCAAGAAGACTAAAAGGAAGGAGCACGACAGGGTGAACTCTACCTTTCATGATGTATTCATTTTCTGCAGAGCCTGGAAGACTCAGAGCTTTGAACAGGTTGGTGAGCAGCTGCTCGGTAAAAAGGGCCATCTCTGCAGAGGTGATGCTGGAACAGGAAATATGATCACTAAGAGATTTACAGATTAAAGCAGAGGTTTGAGGAGACCTTGGGCACATATGTCCCTTAAGCCGGGCGTACACTGTGTGACTTTTTCACTTTTTTGAGCCGATTTTCCACTCGTGCGAGAATCCATGAGATCGGGGTGAGTTTTGCGCCGAGCGTCGTGTAGTGTACAGGGGGTTACGAGAGGCGATTAACACCACGTGACCAGCTACCGATCAGCAATCGTGAGCTCGCACGGACTTCTGGCGTGTTTGATATTTTGCTCGTCACTCGTGAGGGTATCGCACTGCTGAAGTGGCGCTGCGAGCAGCTGCGACCCAAAATGTATCAGAACCGCTCACGGCGCATGCGCAATCCTGCATCAACACCGCTCACCCGCTATTTACCTAATAACACACGTTGTTCGTTTTTGTTTCTACACGTTTTTTTACTCACAGATTGTCAAGAAAGCGTGTTTGTCGTGTTCATGTCAAATTAAACTGATCACAAAACACAGATTCACTTTCTTTATTTCGTTTTCCTCATCCAACCCCCATAAATCCCTGTGTGTCCTCCTGCAGCACTCCCGAAGGACAACAGGCAAAACAAGACAAAAAAGTCTGACGTGTTGTGTAAAAACTGCTATTTTTAGCATATTTTTAGGTCCGACGTGTTGCTACCAGACGTACAGTGTGAGCAGTCAGGTCGCATCCGAGAACTGGGACATGCAGTGTGAGCGCATGACTCGTGAGATCTGCTCTGCGAGGAAGTCGTACAGTTTGAGCTGAAGCCGAGTGCTACGAGTGAAAAAGTCGCACAGTGTCCGCCCGGCTTTAGAGTGACTAAAGGCTGTAGCAAATCTCACCCCCCCCCCGAGCCTCAGGCCAGTTTGAAACGAAGATCAGAAAAAGGTAATTACACCTACAGCCCTAAAGTGATCGTTCCACAGTGTAAACAAATAAAAGCTACTGTGACATTAAAAGAAACGCAGCATGAATCCCTTTACTGCCCGTGTGACTCACAGCGTTGCGTTATTGGGGCCCCTCATTGTGAACAGCCTCTCCAGAGCATGAGCAGCATACGTGTGCTCCACCGTGCTCTGTGCCTGCAGGTGGCTTATCAGCAGAGGAACCGCCTGCAGCAGCTGCTCCTTGGGAAGCTTGAGGGAAAAGACAGCAGAGCTCTGGGTAAGCAGCTAAGTTTGAGTCGTCTAACTTAAGGCAGGAGAAAGGCCACACCTGACTTCTGAAGATCATCACATACTTTATGGCATCGGTCTTCAGCACGGGAAACTCATCAACTATAACAGGACCACACAAGTCATGTAAAAGCAGCTGAGCTATCACATAACTGAATAACAACATCAATCGTGTTCTTACTGTTGGAGGATTTCAGGTCTGGGAGAATGTGGTTCACAAAGAACTCGTTTAGATTCACCAGTTCATTGGCTTGTGTTATTCCATGCTGTTAAACATAGATAGGAACCGTTTACCAGCTTTTAGACTTTGATCGTCAACAGTAGTAAACTCATAAGTGGAAGAAGACCTTCTGTGTTTGAGCTTTAGAGGCCAGCGACGTGACCAGGTAGATGGCAGCATCCTTGTGTTTCCAGTTCTCTCTGGGGCTCTTGGCGTATTCCGTCAGCATCGAGTTCACATAGCCAGAGAAGATGGCCGTCACCGGGCCCTCGAAGAACTTACACAGGCCCCTCACCAAATCACAGGCTGCTCTACGGCGAGTGTCGATGTCTGAGGAACCAAAGGGGGGTGGGGGGCGTCACCATGAAGAATGTTAACAAGCTGAATGTCCAACAGAACTCATCTAACTACCCAGTAATCGGTCAGCAACAAGTCCACAGAACGTCTTCACACCAACAGCAGTGGGGCTGACAGTTTAGTTCACACATTTCTGTTTAATTTTGATTATTTTCTTTAAATCAAGTGTCTGTACGATATCCACAATGTACAGTAATATAAATAATAATATCTGTAGTAGGACCTAAAAAAAAAGTGAGTTAGCGGGAGCATCGGGCTCCCACAACCCAGCCAAAAACCTGGGAAAAGCCTGGATGTTGACACGACTGATCCTGGGTCAGCCAGTAGTGCAGCTTTGACTTTCCATCAGGAAGTGATGGATCATTCAGTCCTAAAGGCAATTTCTGTTCAGTGTGTAATTGGTGTGGAGAGAACGCATGAATCTGGATGGCATGAGAGGGTACGAACAAGTTCGTTTGGTTAGCAAATAAATAATAAACCAGCATATAAGTGCTGTTTATACACTTCTATTAAAATTGTTTTAGAAGACAGGAACACGTCTGTTTCAGTTGCATCTATACGTTTAAGATCTTTAACCATCTAGAAATCGTTCTAAATATCTAAAATAAAAATTTTAGGATTTACTGAGACCCACTTGTTTTACTTTTAAACTTAACGTTCTTCTCATCCTGAGGTCTATGACCCACCGACAGCGTCCCCACACTTGTGTCTGTGCTGAGGTCACAAAGTTCATATTTGTAAAAATTACATTGACAAAATACCAACATCAGACCTGAGAGTATCATCAAAACCCTGTAAAAGCATTATATGCCTGTATGTCTGTAATTAATCATCACTTGTGTGTGTAGGAATTACCCCTACTGCACACTGGAAGCATCAGCGGTGCGAAACACTCCGTAGACTAGGGCTGCAACCATTCGTCGACGTTGTCGACGATAGAAATAGTCGACAATGAAATTCATTGTCGACGTGTTTTTTCCGACCGAGTGAGGCATCTCACTTCAACACAATCTCTGCCGAGAGTCGCACACGCGCAATAGCTCCTCTGCTGATGGCGGCGTCCGACACAGCAGCTACGCATACCAAAACATCTCAAGTTTGGGAGCATTCTGGATTCGGCAAATAAAAAGATGACGTGCATGACTTGCAAAGCAGTCCTCACGTATCACGGCAGCACCTCGCTGATGCATGAACACTTAAAGAGAAAGCACGTCGGACAGTTGAATCAAACAGAGTCTGACTCGCCTCGGTAAGATTTAAATAACACGAAAGCCGACACGTTTTGTTGTGGATGTACATTTTTTAAACCTATTTTCACTTTTAAAAAAGAGATTTGATGTTATGCCTGACCGTGCCTGACTAAAGTATTTAAATTTTACTGATGTCTATACTGACTGGGCACTGCGCCTACTTGGTGTTAGACAGGGCATTTTTATTTACTGTTAGCAAGATTCGGCCTATCAGCAGCGAAGTTCAATAAAATATGCATTTTCCATTGAAGTACCCATCTTTCTTGTGTTTATCATCATTTTTCGCATAATTAAAGCAATCTCATGCTAAATTTAAGAAAAATGTAACAATTATCCGATTAGTCGACTAATCGTTTCAATAGTCGGTGACTAATCGACTATTGAAATAGTCATTAGTTGCAGCCCTACCGTAGACTAAAATAGATTCTATCTGAAGCAACGCCGTTCTGCACCGCTGCTGCTTCCAGTGAGCAGTAGAGGTTACGGCTGGGGAACCACTGATCCAGACAGAGATACCTTTAACATTAAAGGTTTTAAACACATTTTGGTTTATTTCAGGAACAAGTCAAATAACCTCTTTGTTGCCTCAAAGACAGAAAATTACCCTAAATATCCCCCAATGGTTTGACCATATTAAAAAGATTAGACATGTAGGACTCAGCAGGGGCGGATTAAGGACTGAAGAAGATCCGGGGCTTAACACACACACACACACACGCGCGCACTAACACGCATGCACGCGCACACGCACACACACACACACACACACACACACACACACGCGCGCACTAACACGCATGCACGCGCACACGCACGCACACACACACACACACACACACACACACACACACACACATGACACACTAGTCAACATCAAATATATTTGTCTTGTACCACATAATTTTTAATCTGAAGCCACATATTAAGCATATTCAGGGCAGAGTATTGTTCCTGTTAGTGTTTAGTGTGAGATGATAGTAAATATTCCCTTTCTTTCTCCAACAACTTTACCTGATAAGCTAACTTTAGGCAAACCAGCAGCACAACAAATATTTTCAAATAAGACTCACAAACCTGAGTCAACACCAGTCTCATCAAAGCTGGGGTTCTGTCGTTGTACTTTTTGTCTAAAAAACGTCCTTATGTCCATCTTCACTCATGCGTTTCAGGCAGAGTGTAGAAGAAGCCGGCTGCTGAAGGGCTTCTTCTTCAGTGGTGGAGGCTCAGGCAGGCTGTATACAAACTACTGCCAGCTGCTCCCTCTCTGTTGGACTTTGGTACTGCATGTTACCTCCACGTTTGAGATCTGGGGCTTTTCATTAAAGATTCGGGGCTTGAGCCCAAGTAGCCGGGCCTAACGCCGCCCCTGGGACTCAGCCATTCTGTAATCAGTAGCTAAAATATATTGTTTGTTTTAATACGAAGAACTTGTTTTTACCCGATCCTTCAAGATCTCGTCTGATATATTCCTCCGAGTTATCCTCAAAAGCCTCCTCGTCCGCACCTAATTGGAAAAGAAAAGACGGGTTGAGCATGGCGACATAGAGGCACGCGTTTGTGTTGGGCTAACAGGTGTGGACTGGTCTCTTACTTCTGAACTCCATGTTGGGGACAATGACCTTTTCACAAATGCTAGTGAGAGTACTCTGGTCCTCAAACAGATGCTTGTAATGTGGCCGTTCACAGACCGAGGCCAAAAACTGGATGGCGTTGCTTACAAGCTGCAGCAAAGACAGACTTCATTTGTAAATGAGGGGGGATTATACGAGTTCACACGGGCTCAGCAGGAACCAACGTCACTCACCAGGTCATATTTGACCTCCTGTCCAGTGGAGACCAAGAGGTTCCAGATGGCGGTAACAAAGCGCGGCAGGTAAGGCTGAAATTCCTCATCGTACTTCTGAGCATAAAGGGCAGCGTTGTCACAGATCTGAGACTTCAGCAGCTCCAACAGACCTGCCTCCTCTTCATCCTGGGGGCGGGGGGAGTCGTCATCGATACAACTAAGCTAAATAAAACATTTACAGCATGTATGACGAGCTCAACACACATCGGTCTGTAGAAGCTTGTTATCCAAGGTCAGCAGACCGTGAAAGTTGGTCATCCAGGTCTCCATGTTGTCTTCGAAAAACTCTGGAAGGTCCTGCGTGAAAACGCAGAGTCCGGTTAACCACAGATAACGATCAAGTGAGCCACGAATCGGACTGTAATCATTTAAAAAAGATTTGTGAACAGTTAGCAAGTATTTAGATTGGAAGCATAAGTTTTACGTAAAACTCGTGGATCGAGTGGAAGTGAAGTCGTACCGATAATAACCAGAAGAGCTAAATGAGAAGTGGAAACTGACCTGAAAGTTTAAACTGTAGAAAAGCTTAGAAATGAGAGTGAGAGATGAGAAGAGGACCTTTAGGGCATTGACATCGTTCGCATGAGTCTGACACAACTCAATTGTTGCCTGAAACAAACAAGAATAAATAAAAACAACCATTAACAGAAACATCTAGTGTAGTTTTAGGACCAACAGCAACACAACAAACCTTGAAGAGCTCCGTCAGAGGGAGGGCAAACGTGTCTAGAACCAGTTTGATCTCAGACCAAAGCTCGTTTGACTTAAACTCATGGCGATACCTTTAAAAAAACAACACAAATGGTCATTAAATTTTTAGGGATGCACCGATGGATCAGCATTTGATTGTAATCGGCCGATAGCGCCCCTATCGGTTTTGATCGGAGTTTTCAAAATAGATCAAAGCAGACCAATCAGGGTTGTCACAGTAACCAGTGTAGCGGTAAACCCCGGTAAAAAAGTTGACAATAATAATAACCGTCTTGTTTTTTTTAAAAACTATATTATCTTGGTGGATTACCGTGGCTGCGGTGTAGGCGCGGTGACCCTTACCAGCCACCGTATCATCGGCTGAAGTTGCCGGCGGCACATGCGCACTTTGTTGTTTACAACCAAAACTTTCTTGAAGCTAAAGCTGAAATAATGGCCAAAGGAGGAGACGGCAGCGCTCAGGACATTTATTATCCCTCAAAGAAGACAAAGTGGGAAGTACGGGCATCTGTTGGATATTTGAAGAATGCCGAGGGAGTTTATAGAAGATGGACGGACGGCTATCCTGTTTGCAGCACGTGCAGAAAAAGTGTCTGTGAAAGGCAGCAACGCTTCAAATCTCATGACACATCTGCATGACCATCACCCACAACTCTACAGTCAACGCAAGGCAAGCTAACGTTAGCGTTTTAGCTAAAATGCGTGATCCGGGGATTTGGGTTGAGGGAGAATGCAACGAGTCGCTATATAAAGCAGCCGCAGCGCCGCTACCTGCATATAAACCGTGTCACGGACACCCCCATGTTGAAATGACGCTATGCATTACGGGGCTCCCAGGGGCAGATAAGAGTTGGTCTCTCTCCGAGAATAATTATAAATTTAACAATGATTACTGCCTGATGACATTTTCCCACATCTGCAAAGCTCACTGGAACACAAACCGAGGACGATATTTTCCTGATATAGGGTTTATTACTCAAGTAAGGGTAAAAAAGTATCTGATTAGAAGGCTACTTGAGTACTGAGTATCATCTGATCTAATATTTTTAAAATGATGACATCAAACAGACAAAAAATAAGAAGTTATGGGCAAATATTGGTATTTTAAAGACTAAAGGGAAAAATGTAAACAAATAAACAACATAATTACAAAATAACATTGTAGTTAAAATTTAGACACAAACTGAGGACAATATTTTCCTGATATACAAGGTTTATTTAGTTTCCTGAAAATTTAACATGTTTAAAAAAATACCGCGATAATACCGAAAACCGTGGTAATTTTGGTCACAACAACCGTGAGATTAAACATTCACACCGTGACAACCCTAGTACAGACCATTTTAGATTAGGTTGCATTTCCTTTATTCCCAGATTATGTAGTTTGTAGCACTCCTTATGATGTTGTAGAAAATTTCTGGCCAATCCACGTGATCGGTATCTGTGATCGGCAACAAAAAACCTGATCGGTGCATCCCTATAAATGTTCCTGTTAACTCATTCGCTGCCAGCGTTTCTCGTCGTTTTTACTGTTTTTAAGAATCACAGAACGTTGCGTGCCAGGACGATGTCGACTCCAAAACAACCGAAACAAAGCGGAGACTCACCTCTTACATCAGGAAGGATCCGCACGTTTTGAGCGTTATCCGTTTTTTTATAATCTGTTGTTGAATTGTGATCGGCAGAAGCTTTTCCGGTTCGCACCTCACTTTTTTTATAGCAGCGGCCCAAAACGATCTAACACATGGATTTTCTGCTTCCTGGTCACATGATGTGTGACGTACGCGGATGAAGATCGGCTTTAGAGCAGAGATGTCTGTTCTCTCGGCGCGGGGGCTCGTTCCGACGCCCACACAGTAAAAACATGCAGTGAATGAGTTAAAATATGAAAATAAAAACCTCATGATTGGGAAGATTGTTCTACCTCTTAAAGAGAGAGTGTGCAGTACGAAGTACTCCGTTTATGATGTGGAAGTCTCCACTCCTGAAGCGGGTCACCATCTCTGTCAGGAGGTCGGGCCATTTTTGAGGGAAGTCTTCTCTTCCTATGATGCTGATGGCGTCGCTCAACTAGAGCAACACACCGGATGTATAAACAACAGCTAAACACACTACTGTAGAGCTTTTAGCAGATTCCCATCAGCCATGATAACAAGGATGTACCTGTTTCTGGATTTGTTCTGGGCTGCTTAGCATCAAATTTACAATGTTAGCTTTGATTGCTGTTCGGTCAGCCTCAGAGATTTTGTTTGGTTCATCTTCAACCTGTGAGAAAACAAAAACAGCGTAGCACAACAAAAGGATCAACTTCAAAAACTTTAGTTTTATTTAGATGTAAGCACACATATCTGAACAGGTGCACATGCTACACGTGTGTGACGCATGAAGCCAAGCGGGACTCACGATTCGCCAGTTTCGTTTGATGTAGTTCTTGAACGTCACAGCAGCACAGACACGAATCACGTCATCTTGAGACTTCTCCAGCAGAGTGAGGAGTAGCAGCGAGTAGTTCTGGTTTCCTTCTACAGTTTCCAGAAACTTCTCAGCTGAGAGGAGAAAGAAAAACTGGCGCTACGATGCAAAGCTCACACATTCAACTCCACGTAAAGACTTAATAATAAATGAGTCAATATTACAACACAAATATCGCACAACAGTAACGTTCAGGAGACACACCTGGACGCCTGACTGCTGGGTCTGGGTTCAGTGTTTTCCTTAAGAACTCAGTCAGGGTCTGAAGGTTTGCATCATTCAGCTCCATGCTCACAACTGAGGATAAAACCACAACAACTCAACGGATGAACACATGGATGAACTTTTGTAACCAGAAGGAGTTTTTACACCTCCTAACAGACACATGAGAACAGAAGTAATGATTTACAAATGTTTACGAGAAGAAAAAATGATTTTTTACAAGATAATTATGAATACAATTTAAAATTATATTAAAATATGAAGAAGACCTTGTTTAAATGAAGAGACTAATTCAGTTGTTGAAAACATCTGAAACAAGATTGCTACTCCTGCTCTAGAGACACTCAGCTGCTAGATTAGCCTCCAACTTCTTATTACTAGAGATGCTCCGATCTGATCAAGTGATGGGAAATTGGGTCCAATCACGTGATTTTAAAATAATCGAATCAGGATTTTTAAAAATAGGGTTTGACCTTTTAAAACATTAAACAACACTGTCTTCTCGATCCCCAGTGAGTCGTGGAGGATGGCTGCTTATACTGAGCCAGGATCCTCTGGAGGTTTCTTCCTGTTAAAAGGGAGTTTTCCTCTCCACTGTCGCTACATGCTTGCTTAGTATGAGGATTGCTGTAAAGTCACTGACACTGGTCAGTGACTTGATGCAATTTGCTGGGTTCCTTTTCTGATTGGCTTAATGAACTGACCTGTGTTGGAATGTTTATTATGTGAAGTGCCTTGAGACGACGCTCGTCGTGATTTGGTGCTATATAAATAAACTTGAATTGAAATTTTAAATTCATCATGAGAAAGATTTTCAAATGGAATAACTATGGCTCAGTTTCAATTACAGCTGGGCGATATGGTCTAAAATCAATATCACGATATATTGAGGATTCCACCTCGATAACGATAAGTGGACGATAACTACAGGTATGCGCAGAAACAAAAGTTGTCCACTAGTCACATTTCTACATGACTGGAGGTGGTACAGCTTCTTAAAGAGGCACGAATGTTGCCAACTTACACACATCTTTGTATTTCTTTTACTATCAAATGTATTGACATGGGAAAAATTATCTCGATAAGAGTCAGAAATTTCGTTAACGATTATTGCCCAGCCCTAGTTTCAATTTCAATAAGTTCCTCTGCATCAACATTATTTTCTTGGAAACCTTTACTGTGACTTTCATTAGCGTGGATAAAATCTTTATTTCTCTACTTTGTTGCTTCACTGTCCACATGCTCCTTTGAAACTGATTTTACAAACGCATTTTAGAGGACATATCTGACAACTAAACTGCATCATAAGGAAAGCTGTTATTGGTTGCTGACCACTGCCAAGGTAAGCTGTGCAGGAACCTTAAAACGCTCCACTTGAGAAACAGCTTTTTGTCCTGCTAAATTCGTGCACTGTAATTTTGACTGCTGCTCATTTATATTTATAGCTCTTTTTTCAATACAATAATGGGCAAGTGTGAACTAAGTGCTTCTTCTGACGTGTACAGAGTTAGTAAACGACATTATGTTGTGAGTGAACACACACAATAATAAATAAATGACTAGAATGCAAATGAAAATCAGGAAAAGGACTAAAAACAAATGATCAGAGGGGATTATGCTCTGTCTTTATTAAAATCCACAAATGTTTCTGGTGATGAACCGCGTTTTTATGAACAGCTTTCATATAAAACTTTTTTTTTTAAAGTGAGTATAACCCTTGGCTATGTTACAAAAATATGTACGTTAGCTCATGCAAAGAAGTGCAATGATCATCCACCAGGTGTATATTGTTGTAAATCACGTGTTCGCTGCTCAAAGAGTTTAACTTTTAACTTTACAACTCCTCTGCCAGCGTGAGTCATCCGTGCAATTTTTCCAACATGCTAGAAGTCAACAACAACGCTCGACTAGCTACATTACCTCTGGCACTGCTTCTGCTTGTCATGCTCACACTGGTTTACACAGAACAAACGAGCTAACAGGCTACGTTTAACAGTAAAGTAAGCACATGGCGTGAATTGCCAGGATAGTGTTTAATTTTATAATGCACTAAACTGAATATTTTATTATTACTTGTCTAAATATAGACCGCACAGTACAACTTAGAAGGGTGGAAAGCAGCACTTCAGTACTGATCCTCGAGCCACTCGGCTAACGTTAGCGCTAGGCTAATATGTTTGGAGCTAACTAGTAAGTTAGCCTATTTCCCCCTTCACGTCGTAAGTTCCCTGGCTACTGCATTACTTGAACCGCTAAAACCTGTATGAGACAACATGTTTACACTCGGACTTATGGGGTGTCTTACCGTTACAGTATTTAACCCGTCAGAATGGCACGCAGAGCCTCTCCAGACAGGAGGCACTAGCTCGCTGTGGCAGCTTTCAAACGACTGGAGCGAAATGGAACTGCGCGGTCAGTGTGTCGCGCAGGCGCATTGCTGGTGGGAATTCCGGTGTCGGTACAGGATCTGCTCGGGTGCAGGATCGGCTCGGGGTCCTTCGACTGCCGATTACGTCACATTACTGCAACTCTACTTTCACACATACGTTTTGGAAATACGTTTTAGGTTTTTGGAGCCATTTCTCCAGGAGTGTGTATGTTATTCATTCAGAGACCCAGATTAACATATAGTCAGTTCTCTCCTGTTTTTTCTCCAGTTCTGTCCCCAATCGGTGATGTTTTAATGGCTCTCCTAATAATAAAAATAAAGCAATTAGAACTCTCTTTCTTAAAGACATGACATCTCTTCCATGCGCTGTATCATACTGGAATAGATTTGTGGATGACTTGACATGGAGGAAGGTTTGGCTTCTACCCAATCAATTTTTGATCACTAACAAGGTTAAAGAAACTTCCTTTAAACTATTACATAGATTCTACCCCTTTAAATGTTATTAAAAAAAATTAAATCAGACCTGGATGTATCTTGTACATTTTGTGAAGATCTTCCAGAAACAACAACTCATCTTTTTTTGGCTGTGTACTCATTCCAAACGGTTTTGGCAGTCTTTCTGTGACTTCATCTGCTGTAAATTCTCTGTCAAGTTTAACATTTATTGGAAGCAGGTTTTGTTTGGCCTTCACCAGAATATTTTTAATAACTCAATTAATTTTTTTATTAATCTGTTATTTCTTTTGGCCAAATTTCATATCCATGAATACAAATTTCTTAAAAGCAAACCCAACTTTAACTGTTTCTTAGTGGAGGTCAAGCATTATATGCTCTATCCGGTTTTCACAAAACCAGAAGGCTGTAAAGACTACCCGCTTGAAGATAATCTGATCCTGATTTATTACTATTTCTGTGTTGATGTTCTCTAGATATATGCTACTGTAATCGGTATTTTTCTGTACACCCACATTTTTTATATCCCCCTGGCACATTGTTTTCTTTTTTGTTCACATCTCACTTTTCTTATTCGTTGTAACTGTGAGATTGTAACCTCATTGTCACATTGTATATTCTATTTTTGTTAATAAAGGTTTGTTAAAAAAACATACGTTTTGGAAAGACATCAGCAGTTTAGTTAATCAGTTCTTGTTTGTTAACACCTAAATGTTTTCTTTGTAATTGTAATTTGTTAATAAAACACCATATTATCTTTGTTTTGTAAAGAATGTGAAACTGATAGTGGAGCGCTGTGGGAGCATCTGAACAACATGGACAGACCGGATGGGATGGCATCAAACACTACTGAGAATTCTTTAGGGTTACTGGTACATTGTATCTCCTAAGGAATTCAGAGTAATTGTATAAGAGCCCCTTTTCATCAAATAACTGGCTAACCAAGATGATTCCATTATTAAACCAGTTATTTTAAAAAATAGTTGTATTTTTATAAATAACTTATTCCAAATAAAACAGTTTTGCGGGGAGAAGTTGTGTTTGTAAATCAATGCCCACGCCAAAATAATTTGTTGATGGAAGTGAGAAAGTTTTAGTGGTATTTTTGGAATACTGTAATTGCAGAGCAGTAGGAAGTTAAGGCCAACCTGTTACGTACAGTGCCCCTTTTCGGCCACAAGATGGCCTCAGTGGCTTCTGCCTCCTCTGTCTCCCGGTGCCCAGCTGTGGGTAATTTGATAATCGCCTGCCCTCTTGCCTTCATTCAAGGAGAAGGTACATGGAAGTGTGGGCCTTCTCCTAGTGTGCTTGTGTGCACGTTGGCTTGGTGGTTCTTCGGTGGTTTAGTAATATTAGTGGTTTAGACTCTTGTTCTTTAGGATTTCTGGTACTCTGACCTCGGACTGGCCTTTGACTCCCCCTTTTGGATTACCCCTGAGCGCCTCTGCTTAACAGGACGTCTCTTGTTTAGTTTTGTGTGTGTGTGTGTGTGTGTGTGTGTATATATATATATATATATATATATATATATATATATATATATATATAATATTTTAGTTAGACATTTCTCCTCATCCCAGCCCTTTTGGCTTGGCGCTTTGCGTTAACCAGTTTCCTTTTTGTATGCATAGGCTCTTTGTGTTTGTTAATAAAAATCCTTTGTTGAAGACACATTTACTCAGTTATTATTTAATCTACACACAACATCTTTTACTCCCTCCTACACATCACTCCTAGTGAGCTGAGGGACGTAACAGAGTGGGGGCTCGTCCGGGATTTGAACCCGGGACCTCCCGCATCACTCCTAGCGAGCTGAGGGACGTAACACACCTAAATTAGAAAACACATGATGTGAGATAAAATTCCAGATAGAAGTGGGATTTTTTAAATACTTTTTAATCCAGTTTATTTTAAAGGTGTTGTGACCCCGAGCCGATCCTGCACCGACACCGTAGTCTGGTTTTCTCTGAAGTCTCTAAGCTTGTGAGAGATACTGATGCAACCAGACTTACAGCGTTCCCGTGCCCCCCTGCTGGTGAAATATGGTTACTGCACCATCCAAAAATAACTTCCTTGAAGAAAGAAGAAAAAAATATCATTTCTATAGCGCCTCTCAAGATAAAAATCATGAGGTGATCCTTGGGGTGATGAGGAAATATGCTGCCCAAACCTAACCTTAGCTTAAACCTTAATGAAATCAGCTCAACACAAATGTGGACACACCTAAGTGGGTATCATAGTTTCACTTAAAAGGCACATGTTGTTCAAGTCACATTCAGAAACCTTTTATTTTACTTGTTGGACAGAAAAATTTAATTGTGTTCATTTGCCATGCTATTGTTGGCAGGCATTTGAGATTTCATTGTGTTACTGCCATCCGCTTAGACCACATATGTCAGAGTCAAGGCCGCATCCGGACCGCGGAGCATTTTTATGTGGCCCGCGAGATAAATATAAAAAATATATTAAAACTGGCCCGCTGGCCGATTTTACCGCAAATACTTCAACTCCCATGATGCTTTGCGGCGTCAGCGCGGAGCCGAAGCGCCCCCTCCTTTGTGTTTTTTCTAGCGTCTTCTGCAGGGTGTCTGCAGCACCGCTGTCGCGGACAATTTACACTCCTCTCACTCAGCGCCGAGTTCACTCAGCTATTTTCTGACGTTGAAGCCCAGAAACGGAGATTTTAACTGCTCAGTAATGTGTTCACGACTGAAAGAGAAAATTTTCCAACTAACATCCAGACAGAGCTGATACAACTCCAGTGAACAGCGACACGCTCAAACCAGCTGCTGTTGTTGTGTTTCCTCCCTGACACACAACAACGTGGTCAAGCTGCTCAGACATGTTAATCAGCACAAACCTATGTGAGCTCCTGTTGTCATCTAATGTTGTCATTATTATGATGAAGATAAACAAAACAACAGGAGTCTCCTCCTCAGCTCAGATCAACCCCATGATGCAGGTATCTGGCTGGAACAGGTGAGCATCACAGTAAACCAGTGGAGCAAACTGAGCTTTAAATATTCTGGCTTTATGCTCTTTTTCTGCTCCAAAGCATGAAAGTTAACAGGTGAGATGTTGCATTTTCATTTAAGATAAAATAATACTTTTATTTTGTTGTTGGCCCGTGAGAAAATATTTAGCCTATACAGTAAACAGGAAGTGGAAAGGCTGCAGATAGAGGAATAGAATAGAAAATCTCTTTATTGTTCCTCAGTGGGGAAAGCTAGATGTCACAGCAGCGATGACACTTATTACAGGAGAAATAAAGGAGAATAAAAAATAAGAAAAATGAATAAACAAGAAAACATAAATCCTGAATAGATTTTTAAAATGCTGATTATACCACAAGTAATGAATACCACTGATGCCTTTTATTTAAAACTGACTTGCTTGTGTGTCATTTGATTATTCCACATTCAGTGTTAATGCAGAAATATGTTTGTATCCAAATTTAAAGGTTCAAAATTGCATATATGTTGATAAAGAAAATGTGCAAATTTGCCGTCACTTTTTCAAAAAATATTAAGTTTGGCCCTCGACTCCGTCCCAGAGTTTCATTTCGGCCCCTTGTGAGTTTGAGTTTGACACCCCTGGCTTAGACAGTATCAAAGCTGATTAAACAACAAAAGGTATTTATCTGCACTCATGTTATGCTTCTATATATTCTGTGAGCATTTAAAAATAAACACATTTTTTAAAGCTGCCCTTTACACATGGTTTACACATTTAGTATGTTGAAATTAACACATTTTAGTGTTAAAAAATTGACACGGTTTGTGTGTTAAAATGATTTATACATGGAATGTGTTGGAATTAACTCAAAATGTGTCGTTCCTGAGCACACTCGGCACATGTGTTAAAAAATGACACGTGTTATTTTTGACACATCTGTTTTTGCAGTGTAGCCTAAACAGAGAAGCCCAGACTTCCCTCTCCTTAGCCACATGGGCCAGTTCCTCTAGGGAATCCCATGGCGTTCGCTGGCCAGCCGAGAAACATTGTCTCGCCACTGTCCTGGGTCTTCCTTCAGGTCTCCCCCCAGTTGGACGTGCCTGGAAAACCTCACCAGGGGGACACCCAGGAGGCATCCTTATGCAGTTGCCCGAGCCACTTCAGCTGGCTCCTCTGATGTGGATCTACTCGGGTGACTGAGTTTATCAGCCCATCTCTAAGGGAGAGCTCAGACACCTTGCAGAGGATACTCTTTTCGGCCGCTTGTATCCGCAATCTCATTCTTTCTGTCACTACCCAAAGTGAGGGAAGGGACATAGACAAACCAGTAAATCGAGAGCTCCACCTTCCAGCTCTGCTCCACCAGGACAGACCGGTACAATGAACAAGACCAAGACCCCTAGATACTTAAACTCCTCCACTTGAGGCAGGCTCTCAAGAGAAGACTTGGAGAAGGAATTCTACCCTTTTCCAACTCAAGACATGGTCTCGGATTTAGAGGAGCTGATTATACCTGCCGCTTCACACTAAGCTGCAAAGCATTCCAGCAAAAGCTGGACAGAACGAACCGGTGTGCTCTCACAGTGCAGCTGAAATCAGTTTATAGTCCTGAGCACGGAGTGAGAATGATGCTGAAGAACTGTCCTGCAAATAAAAGCAAATGAGCAAGGGGAGGACCAAGATGCAGCTACACAAATGTTCTCCACCAACATGTCTCTTCGCAGTGCCATGGTTCCACTGGACATGCTGTACACGAGACGCCTCCAGAGCTTGTTCACTCACCTCAAAGTGGACCCAATATGTCAGAAGAGACGCATGCTATGGGCTCCATGATCAAACATTTTGTGAGACTGCAAGATTAGGATGATGGTTCTGCCGTGTTATGTCCTAAACTGGTAATTACGTCTAAGACCATCACTAGCTTTTTTGCGTTTCCCTCCAGAGAAGCTGAGAGCTCACTCCAGTAGAAGAATCTCCCCCTTCATGGCACTGCGAAGAGACATGTTGGTGGATAACATTTGTGCAGCTGCATCTTGGTCCTCCTCTATGGAGCTAGGATTGGGACAATATTCAATGTAACTTGTACCAAGTTTTGTAACTTGGACCATGTTTGAGGATTACAAGTTCGAAAACTAGTTACAAGTTACAAATCCAAAGTTACATGTCATGAAACATGGTCCAAGTTACAAAACTTGGTACAAGTTACATTGAATATTGTCCCAATCCTAGCTCCATATAACCACTGCGTGGGCTGCCGCCATCGTGCCCAACATACTCAAAACCAACGGAACCGTGACGATTCTGGGAGGTTTTACACAGAAAATCATGGCAAACATATCTGTCTACTAAAATTCAATAAGTCTATTTCAATTATCTGTGTTCAACAAGATTGAGTCAATGAGCTAAAGCAGGAGCTATCACCAGCTAGCTAACAGACCAACTGAGTAAATGTTTGATCACACTTGATATAAATTTAGAAACTTGTTTCATCAGATAAAATAATATTTTAAATTAAATATTATAAGCATGTGGTTTAAAGGGCAGAATTGAAGATAAGTAAAATTTAATAAAGGTATAGAAACACATTCCAAATCACTCATTTACAAAGCTTTAACCTTCCAATAGATGATGTGTTAGAGCAATCAGCATGGACTGTATTTACCCTCTGAACCTAACATTAGCCAAATAGGTTTCCCGTAAAACCTGGCCACCTGTATGCTACAAGCTTACCAATTTAGAAGACAGTGTGACATTACTGCAGTAAAAATAAATGTAAAAATTTTCCCCCAAATTTTATGTAATTCTTAGATGTTTTGCTTGTAATTAACATTGTGGGTTTTTTACGTAGCATACTGTGATTACAGCATCCATTTGGCTTCTAAAAATTTTAATCTGCCTTACCGTTACTGTTTTTTTTCTCTACCAGACTAATGTGTAATTTTGCTAAAGCTAATGTGTCCACCCCCACCCCACCCACCCACCCACCCACCCCATGACTGACCTTTAAAAAAAGCTGCAATAAAATATTTACAATACTCAGTGCTGTTCACAGATCTGGTAGAGATGAATAAGTTACACCTGTTAATGCTGAATGAGTGAATCAGTGGAGCACAATTCAATTCTTCAGTTTATTGTGAGAACATGAGAGCCTTCATCACAAATGAGCAGTCAAACAATAATGCACTTAGATCTGTAGATAAGAAATGTAAAAAAAAATCTGATCCAGCACAGAAAGCACCTTATATGAACACAGATATTTCATTATTTTAATGACAACATAAAATAAAGACTTTTAGTGAGCTTTAACCTCTTCCTGTTGAACAGGTTTGAGAACAGAGGCTCGTAACATCAACATGCTACAGGTTGTGCGTCTGGCGGATGTTTAGGGTGTCTCGCAGCATCAGGTCACGGAGGCGCCAAAGAGCATCCGCCATAGTCTTATGGGCCCCCTTGCTCTTCAGCCAATGGGATGGTAGTCTGCTTTCTTGCTCCTTTGTTAGGCGCACATCTTGTTTTTGAACTTAAAAGAAACAAAACAAATTTTTCAAAATTCTTCTATAAATGAAATAAAACCTACACGTATCGACTAAATATAACTGAGAAACACAAATTAATCACAACACCATTTACTTTACCAATCATTCTATAAATTCTATAAATACACTGCCTGTCCAAAAAAAAAAAAGTTGGCACCTAGATTTAACTAAGCAAATAATTACTGCGTGGGTAATTATCCTTCAGCTGACACAAGTTATTTAACACCAACTGGTGCAATGAGTTGCTTCTCAAAAACATGTGGAAAGACACATCTGGTGGTTGTGGAAAAGGTGTTAGTCTGTTTGAGAAGGGTCAGGTCGTTGGCACGCATCAAGCAGAGAAAACACGAGATAGCAGAAACGTCTAAAACTGGGTTAAGAACTGTCCGATGCATTATTAAAAACTGGAAGGATGGTTGGGACCCATCATCTCTGAGCAAGAAATGTGGCTGGAAAAAAATCTTGAATAATCGTGATCAGGGATAACTTAAACATTTGGTTAAATCAAATCCAAGAAAAACAAAAGTAGAAGTCAGGGCTAGGTTTAATAGTGAAAGGAAGAGCTTTTCCACACAATGTGATTATAACTCAAGGGATTGGGCCTGAAGAGTTGCGTAGCCATAAGAAAACCTCTAATCAGTGAGAATAACCGGGGAAAAGGCTTCAGTTTGCTGGAGAGCATAAAGATTGGACTCTGGAGCAATGGAAGGGGGTCATGTGGTATGATGAGTCCAGACGGACCCAGTTCCAGAGTGATGGTGCATCAGGGTAAGAAGAGAGGTGGATGAAGTGATGCACCCATCATGCCTAGTGCCCAATATACAAGCCTGTGGGGGCAGTGCTATGATCTGGGCTTGCTGCAGTTGTTCAGGTCTAGGTTCAGCAACAGGACGTGCTCCAAGAATGAGGTCAGCTGACTACCTGAACATACTGAATGACCAGGTTATTCCATCTTCCCTGATGACACGGGCATATTCCAAGACGACAAAGCCAGGACTCTTCGGGATCAAATAGTGAAAGAGTGGTTCAGGGAGCACGAGACATCATTTTCACACATGGATGGGCCACCACAGAATCCAGACCTTAACCCCATTGAGAATCTTTGGGATGTGCTGGAGAAGGCTTTGTGCAGTGGTCAGACTCTACCATCGTCAATGCAAGATCTTGGTGAAACGTTAATGCAACACTGGATGGAAATAAATCTGGTGACGTTGCAGAAGCTAAAATAACGCCACAGCAAATGTGTGCCGTGATCAAAGCTAAAGGCGGTCCAACAAGATATTAGTGTGTGACTTTTTTTGGTGGCGACTTTTTTTTTTGGCCGGGCTGTGTATTATTATTATTATTATTATTATTATTATTATATACTGAATTAATGTATTGTCTGTTAGTTTTTATTACCACGATCAAACTAAATGAACCAACCGGTGAGAGCTTGATCCCATTTGCTGACTGTGGAGGACTCTGCAGTTAGGCCCTCGATGTATTTGAGGTAGGCCTCGGAGTGGAGCAGCCGCTGAGATCTGACTGGAGGAGAGACAAACAGCGGTGTGGAGGGTTGCTGGAGAGAAGGTTGTCCCAGGTGACCTTGTCCTGGGTATGGAGGTGGAGCCTGCTGCCCTGAGCCTGTTAAACCAAGCTAACGAAACATCAGAAGTATTATTTAACAGACATAAATGTAGAGTGATTTTGTTTTGTTTTATTAAAACATGAGAATTTGTTTTTTACTCAACCTGAATAGTTGAAGTTTATTTTGTGCTAATGTTGAACCCTTCAAGCACAATGCCCCATAACTGTTGTAGACCACTATCTCTTCAGCAGTATTAGTACATTTATAAAATATGTGCCCCAATGAATTCATATCTTCTGCCTCCTTGTGGACGGTTTAAGTACTGCAGGGCACACGTGTAAATCATTTTCGTATTAGTGTTGTAATACTGTACCTAATAAAATGTTTCAGTAATTGTATATGATTGTTTTATTGACATTAACCTATAAAAAGATAAATCTTTTGAAATAAAAATCCTCAAGTTTTCTCATGTATCAGACTTTAAAGGGTTTTTAATTTATTTTACATTATTTAACCGGATGAGTCGATTGAGAACTCATTCTCATTTACGACGACGATCTGGCCAAGAGGCAGCAGCAACACACACATAGTTAGCTTTACACCAAAGAAAAACAGGTAAGATTAAAGCAAACAAGATCAAAACCAGATAAAACAGTTAGACATGCAGACAAAGGACTGTTCTCATATGTCATATGTACAAGCAATCAACACAGTCTTTAAGTACTCAGAAGCACATTCATCAGAAACTATTAACTGCAATGAATTATTGAAGGTAGATAATGGAATGTAGGTAGCGCGCTTGAGTGATTTTTGCAGCTCATTCCAGTCGCTGGAAGCAGCAAACTGGAATGAGAGGCGGCCAAAGGAGGTGCGAGCTTTGGGAATAACCATAGAGATTGGGTCACTGGAACGTTAATCACGCTGGTTGTTGGAAGTGATGAGTAATGAGCGAAGATATGACGGTGTTCTACCGATGATTGTTTTGTATATGAACTGATCCCAGGGTAACAACCTGCAGGAATGGAGTGATGGCCAGTTAACGAGTGAGTACAGATCACAATGACCAGTAGTGAACGGGGCACCAGTGATGAAACGGATTGCTGAGTGATGAATGGCATCGAGTTTATGAAGAAGTCTTTTGGAAGCAGTTCTATAAATGATGTCATCATTATCTAAGATGGGAAGGATTGTCATTTTGACCAAGGCTAACTTCGCAGATTGAGTAAAAGATGACCTGTTGCCATAGAAACCCAATTCTTGACTCAACTTTAGAAAGTGATGAATTAATCTGAATGTCAAATGAAAGTGTGCTGTCAAGCCAGACACCCAGTTACATATAAGAACTGACAAGCTGTAGTTCTGCACCATCCAGGGAAACAATACTAGGGTGGCAAGTTGATTGTGATGAGTTACAGTTGAAGATCATGAAGGTTGGAGAAGGCATGTTGAGGACAATTAAAGTTCCACTGCAAGGAGGACTAAGCTGCATTCAAAGAAGAACGGCATGGATATAAAATGGTGCCGTCCGCATATAAATGTATATGAGAACTGTCAACAGCATGAAAAATGTTATTAATATAGATTTTCCACCCTTGAGGAACGCCCACAGGTAGAGGAGCAAATTGGTAACCCTCTAATGTAACCTTGAAGCAGATGTCAACTTGGAGATGTGAGCACACCTGAATTTTGCTTTCATTAGCCGACAGAAATCCTGACCACAGAAATGTGTAAAAGGTTAACACAGTCCCTGGTTTCCTGTACAGGAGGAGAGAAGTCCCACGGATTACCTGGGATCCAAGAATGCTTCCTGCTGCAGCGCCGCTTCCCATCCCGTTAACACCTGTAAGGTATTAAACATATGACTAGAACAAAAATAACCAGGTATTTTACCAAAGGTAAAATGATCATTGTGTCAGCGATCTTATCAGTTTATTGGCCAATTTACAAACTAATCAGGATTGTAACTAAAAGGTTTCCTTTTTAGATGTAAGCTGTAAAATATCATCAGCCACTTATCACCCTACTCCTGAAGCTAAAGCTAGCAGACACCGTGATCTGAAGGATCTCAGCCTAGCGATACAGGTAGCCCCTCCAGCAAGTCAGATTGGTACACAGGAAGCAACTGCGTGCCAGGTGGCATGGGGGTTGACTGGTGGCTATGGCAGCACTCTTACCAAAGGACGGCGTTCCAGGAAACCCAGTCATAACGGGCAGGAGATGTTGGGGGAAGGCAGGCACCCCCGTGTGATGTGGTGGCATACCAGCCAAACTAACCATGCCTTCAACATGTGAGCGCATCATAGCGGTCCTATATGCACCCATCACACATTCTTAAGAAGGGACAGTAGTAACACAAAACAAGAACATGCATTAGTGAAACATGCAGGCACTACTAAGCATGCAGCAACATCTGGTGCCGCTAAACATCATTTCATGACTAATGATGGATTTGAATGCAAAGAAAAGGGCCACACAAATGGAAAGTGATGGTGACGCATCAGCACTATGGTGAAGCAAGAGTTCTGTTCTCAAATGGTGAACAGCAGCCACTTCTTTCATGTTCCAATTGAGATCCTTACTGTTTAGGTGTGATCACAAATTCAGGTTAAACACCACGAGTGCTGTACACCATTTATCATTTAGGCTTACGAACATGAGGTTAGAGATGATGTTAAGTTGAATAAAGACACTGCCTCAACAGAACAAGCTGATGTGAGTGTGAGAAAACACTTCGGCAGTTCAGCTTCTCATTCCAGCCTTTTAGAGTAAACTGGGGATCCATCTGCGTCTACGAGGGGTTACCTGACACAGGCGTCATGCTGGGATTTAGCATCCCCATGGGGGCTGGGGGAGGCACCACCCCCATCAGCGCCCCTATTGGGGTACCTGCTCTAGGGGATGAGTGATGGTGGGCCCTGTCACGCTCCTGCTGCTCGGCCACTTTGGCTGCTCGCTCTGCAAGACAGTACAGACAAGTAAAAAGGTCACAGAGGGCTGAAGTACTACTACTACTACTAAACTTTATTTATATAGCGCCTTCACATGGCCCAAGGACCAAACAAAGCGCCGCACAGCAGAAATAAACATAAAAAATAAAAACATATAAAACCATTTAAAAACCAACAAAAACATGTAGATAAAATATGGGTGGGGCAGCAAAAAGGTGCTAAGCCATCCGTTAATGAGACTCGTCTTGGTTAAAAGCTACAGAATAAAAGTGTGTTTTCAGCTGGCTCTTACACTTGGCGAGCGTGGTGGCCTGTCTAAAGCCGGGCGTACACTGTGTGACTTTTTCACTTTTTTGAGCCGATTTTCCACTCGTGCGAGAATCCACGAGATCGGGGCGAGTTTTGCGCCGAGCGTCGTGTAGTGTACAGGGGGTTACGAGAGGCGATTAACACCACGTGACCAGCTACCGATCAGCAATCATGAGCTCGCACGGACTTCTGGGGTGTTTGATATTTTGCTCGTCCCTCGTGAGGGTATCACACTGTTGAAGCGGTGCTGCGAGCAGCTGTGACCCAAAATGTATCAGAACCGCTCACGGCGCATGCGCAATCCTGCATCAACGCCGCTCGCCCGCTATTTCCCTAATAACACACGTTGTTCGTTTTAATTTCTACACGTTTTTTTACTCACAAAGATTGTCAAGAAAGTGTGTTTGTCGTGTTCATGTCAAATTAAACTGATCACAAAACACAGATTTACTTTCTTTATTTTGTTTTCCTCATCCAACCCCCATAAACCCCTGTGTGTCCCCCTGCAGCACTCCCGAAGGACAACAGGCAAAACAAGACAAAGATAGTCTGACGTGTAAAAACTGCTATTTTTAGCACATTTTTACGTCCGACGTGTTGCTACCAGACGTGCAGTATGAGCACATGACTCGTGAGATCTGCCCTGCGAGGAAGTCGTACAGTTTGAGCTGAAGCTGAGTGCTATGAGTGAAAAAGTCGCACAGTGTCCGCCCAGCTTAACACCTGTAGGTAGCTAATTCCAGAGCCTCGGCCCCGGCACCGAGAAAGCACGACCCCCTCGAGATTGTAGTCTGTGTTTGGGAACAACCGACAGTCCTTGCTGTGCAGACCGAAGGTTCCTTGAGGGAACATAAGGATGGATCCGATCCGATAGATATCATGGAGCCAACTCATGTAAACATTTAAAAACAAACACCAGAACTTTAAACAAAATTCTAAAAGTGACTGGAAGACAGTGTAGGGATGCCAAGAAGTAGACGCAGCGAGACCGGTAAAACCCTCACCTTCGTACTCCGCCTTCCTGGAGCTGTCCAGGTTCCTCCACTCTGTGCCAACGAGCCGGCTCAAGTCTCCAAAGGAGAAGTCTGGATGCTGGGCTTTGATGACCGCTCGCATCTCGCTGCTGAACAGGATGTAGCCACTCATGTTGATCTTCCTTGTTGCCCTTTCCTTCTTTGACAGTCCCTTTAACGATTTAGGAGTCGACTGCAACCAAACACAAGAGAACCACATGTAAAAAACTAAAGCTGTAACAAAACTCCGGTAACCACTTCATCATTTAATTCCTTCAGCCAGACCTGTGGAGGGGTGTAAGGCATGATGTCCATGTCACTCGACATGGAAGACTGCATCTGAGGAAGAGAATGATCGCCCAGGTCACCATCATCATCCCCAAGATCCTCCAGCTCCTCATCTGTCATGTCAGCAAACTTGGCCTCGAGCTCCACTATTTTCTTGTCAAGGAGAGGCGATGGCTCTTTCTGGGGAACTATGAGCTTCCTGTGATAAAACAACCAGACTTGAATAAAATATAGGCTCAGTTTTCTAAAAATACATGAAGGATAACAGCAGAAAACAGCAAATATGAAACCGTTAACCTGAAATAGTAGATCTCATCCTCCACCACCTTCCCTGAGAGTGAAAATCGCTTTAGACCCTTAAACTTCTTCATCAGCTTTTCACTCTCAATGTAGCGACTCTCACAGAGGAGAACGTTCTCCTCGGGCACTTCGGTGGGTCGGCACGATAAATATTCTTTAAAAGAGGCTACGACACACTTTCCTGTCAAATCAAACCATATTCAGTGATTCTACTGGTTTCCAGGCAGAAAAGAGCTGCTGTGAATTTGAACCCACTGCACTGACAAAACTGCACCTATGATGCAGGTCATGGGACAAGTCTCCTCCAGGTTGCTGAGGAACACCTCCTTCTTGTAGAACATCTTAGTGGGCTCGTGCTCCGTCTCTTCAGGGTGGATGAAAATGGGGCCGAAGAAGTAGCCCGCGCCGTCTCGCATCCACATTTTCTCGATTCTGCCAGACACCGAAAACAAAAGATTTGCATTGGAAATAAGCAACTAAACATCCTAGAACACACATGCTATGCCATTTACTGACATTTACCTGCCCACTCTGGGGCGCACAAGTCCGTGAGAACCGATGTAAACACAGTCTCCCACTTTCAGCCAAAGGTTGTTGTAACAAAGCTGCTCGTGGTACTGACAACCCGGCTCCCCGTTGCTCACATCCAGGGGAACGTCTTCCCTGTCCTTCAGACCAAAGTGGTTTCCTGTCAGTATTTCCTAAACACACACTGTTTATTTAAGCCCAACCTGCTACTCACCTTGTCTGTCATGGCATCTGCCATTTTGCTTTCATCTAAAACCTCTGGTGGCTTCTCCTCTTGTTTGATGGCAAACATGGAAGCCACCCGGACTACGGGAAGGGGCACGTCTCTGGTAGCAAACCGAACAGAGCTCAGGGGCATGGCCCACAGCTTGATCTTCTTGAAGGACTTGGACTTAGCGGAGTAGCGAGACTCGCAGACATAGACATCCTCCGATCTGAATCCTTCAGGGTAAAGCTTGAAGTATTCCTGGAAATGTGGAAATAGGAAGTCAGAACTCGTGAACAGAAAAGGGAATTCTCGCAAATGAAATCTAAATGTCTAAAATTAACTCTGCAGATTTAGCGCCCGTACCTTCACAAACATAACCACACACTTCCCCAGAATCTTGCTGATTGAAGCTTTGTTGTAATAGTCACTCTTAAAAACCTCTTTCTCCAAGAATTTTCTTGTGGCCAGATGAAACGTTTCATTGGGTCTGTAGAACCAGCAGCCGTACAACCACTTCTCTCCTGCGTTGCGGTATGGAGACGATGATTTGAGGTACAGGATGAGAAATAACCCAAAAAATCAAAAGCAGAAACCATTAAAGCTACACCAGAGTTTTTAAAGGAGTCATTCGCTTGTTTAATCAATACATTTGCAGTGGTCTCTAGTAGCAACCAATGCCTTGCAAGTCGTACTCTCATCAACAGGAACACTCTACCACTGACTCCATTTGCTTTGCAACGTTGTTTTCTCTCCACAAATACCACAAGCTTGAAGGATTTCTGCCGTGTGGTGGAGTTGCTAATGCTAACAGTTAGCTTCCGTTAACCGAGACGCTGCTGTTTCCTGGACTCTAAACCAACAGCAGCCTTCCCAGCCAGGAGTCAAGATGGGTGTTATGCAGGGTACGCACGAGTCCAGATGGGTGAGTCCATGAACATTAAGGAGAGTGTGACGTAGATCTGTCAGGCTTTTCAAATCCTAGCATTTCACCATCTATAGCAGAAGCTAATGCAGGAGATAGGTGTAGGAGACTATGCTCAGCCTGCATGAAAAACTGAGAGTGACTGATTATAATCAGAAACAATCATTAAAATGGTTTTTCAGTGTTTCTCAGCCTTAACATTTTAAGCTATTGCTTTTAAACTGGTTTCAGTGGTTCTTGAGCCAAAAATGTGAGCCAACTTCACACTGGACAGCACTCTGCTGCCCTCTGCTGACCAGAAATTACACTTTTGCGTTTCAGGTTGGAACACTAGTGGGAGGTCTCTAACTGCTTTACGATAACAGCTAACACGAAGGCTTGCAGTTAGCTGTTTTCTGTTCCCTGTCCATCAACAAAACGCACAAGAAGATGAAGAAGTTTGCTTTTCTGCTGGCATCATGGTGGAGCCTGGATGTAAAAGAGACTAATGTCTGAAGGAGGCTACGAAATCACGGACTGATTGTGACCTGGCTTTGTTGCTACAGAACTTATAAGTAATAACTGTTAGTTTGTGGCTTATTTAACGTCAGCTGGCTCGTGTTATTGTTAGTTCGTTGTCAGCGCTAGCAACAGCAGGCTGCAGCAGTGTTGTTTACAACAGTTATAATTTCACTTTCAACCAGAAGGAGAGAGAAGCAAAGCTTGTTTAGTGTTGCTTTAAAATATAATTTTTTTTAATGTTGTGAAACTATGAAGCTAGTGACAGACTGACCGGTGTCATCTTGCCAAAGTCGTTCAATGTAAATAATATGTGGCTGGAGGTTGGGCTCTGCAGGCTCCACGTAGACATAATCTCCCACATGGTACATGCTGTCCTTGAAGCTGCAGTCCTGGCTATATGTACGCTGAACCTGCCATGAACTTCCAGCAGAGTCCTCCCTCTTCTCAGCCTCTGGGGAACAAAAACACTTACAGTCAAACGAGGCTAGGGGATAGAAATGAAGGCTATGTCCCGACAGTGTTCATAAGTATAAGATACCCCTTTTCTCTTCTTCTCTCTTGATTTTGTCCTCCTCAAACTCTTTAGGAAGTTTTCCTTTCTTCTCCTTTTCCACATCACTATGCAGATGTTTGGAGGTGTAGCTGAGGGCAGGGGACATCAGGATTTCTCCGTTCTTACACAGCTCGTCTCTGATGCGGATGAAGAACTGCTGCAGCTCCACTGCATCTTCAAATATCTCAGAGTCAGTCCTGTAATGAATGAAACGTTTTACAATAACTTTTCTTCATATACTGATTGGTTTTTAGTTTTTCTAGAAGTGTTTAACAATACCTGACCTATTCAACCTTCTGGCTTTTTCCAGAACTTCAAACATGTGGTCCTGAAACACATCCAGCCTCTTGTAACGTCCTCGATCCACGTTCTTCCTGATGATCTCGAAGTTGAGTGGCGGCTTCTCTGGGTTCACGGGATCTGCAGCAGGGATCTCAGCGAGCGAATCGCTGTAGCAACGTCCCTCGTCATCTTGGTGGCCGAGCACAGAAACGAAGAGACTGCGGAGGAGTTCCTGGATGAGGCGTGGCACGTCGGGCAGATGGGCGTCCTCTCCTCCCTCCAGGTCGCGCCTCGTCTCCAGCAGCACCCTGTGTAGCAGCAAAGCGTCGCGGTAAATCAGAGACTTGGGCTCGTTGTAGGTGCAGGCGTTGTTGAACATCAACACGAAGTCCTCCACCAGCGCGTCCACATCCTGGTACTTGTTAGCCAGCATGTGACTCTTGATCTTCTCCATGTCTACAGGTTTCTTGATGGCGATGTAGTAATCAGGAAGCTCGGCGCGTGATGGAAGCCGCAGGAAGATGGTGCTGAGGCGACGACCTCGCTTATCCGTGTAGTTCTTCACGGCTTCATAGAGCTCATTCAGTTTCTGCTGTAGGGGTGTTAGATACTTGGATTTCTTCAGAGACATGCTGTTCTTCCCTGAAATGAAAAAAGACGAGGATGAGATCCTCAGCAGCAGGTTACGTCTGTCACGGGACGCGTTGCTGACCGGTTGACGTACGTATTTTTAACTTTGGAGAAGTCATGTCATCGTCATCGGTGGCTGGCCCAAGATCTCTGCGTTTGTCTTCCATGATCTTCTCAAGGATGTCTGAGTCATGTCATCGTCATCGGTGGCTGGCCCAAGATCTCTGCGTTTGTCTTCCATGATCTTCTCAAGGATGTCTGAGTCATTATAGACCTACAGGAACAAGGAAGATGTTCAACACAAGCGGATTTCTGTTCTCATCAGAACTACTTCAGATGCAGATTTACTCTAAAGGTTCTTCTTCACTCGAAAATGTTTGAGCTGGCTCATTTTTAACTAGAATGAATCCCAATCGTCACTAAAAACAGACCGAACCACCACAGTGAATGCCACCTGAGAGCCTTCCTCGTTGTAGTGTCGTGCATTACGGAACATCAGCTTCATGTCTCCCACCATCGAATCCTCGGTCATGTACTTGTCTGAGCGGATGTTGTGTTCAATGGTCCTGAGGTCCATTGGTTCCAGGATAATTTTGTAGTAATCAGGGTAGTCCTTCTTTGACGGCTTCACCATGAAAAGGTCGCACAGCCTGCGCCCGGTGCCGGCTTCTCGAGCTTCAGTCACAGCCATCAGCAGGGCCTTCATGCGATTTTTTCTTGTATTCTTCTTGTAGCTGAAACCAGACCCAACAAGAAGCTGTCACTGAGAAAAACGTCTTACAGAAACACAACCAAGTTCAGACAGTTGGAAGGGTGTGGAGAAAAATCACCTTTTTCTTTTAGTGCTGCTGGTGTCCGACGTAGCAGAGGAGAGCATGCTGTCGCCATCATCCTCAGCTCTCTGGAGGAGCTCCTTTCTCTTCATCTGCACAGGCAAGAAGAGAACTCAGCTTCTTAAAAATGCCTTAGTTCACTTTAAGCACTACGCTGATGCAAAAACAAGAAAACTGGAAAATCCGACCTGCTGAATGTGTTGAAGTTTGAGAGCACGCTTATAGATGGACGAGTGAGGGACGTTGTAGCGTTTAGCGTTCTCCAACATCAGCGTCAGATCAGAGTCGATGTGCTCGACACTCTCATACTCGTTGTTCTTCATCTTGTTCCTGCAGGGAAGTAAATGGGAAAAGAGGCTCAAAATGTGTGTGTGTGTGTGTGTGTGTGTGTGTGTGTGTGTGTGTGTGTGTGTGTGTGTGTGTGTGTGTGTGTAACATATTCTCGCTCGGTAAAGGAAATATGTTGGTGAAACAATTTAGTTGATCATAAAAAGTTTAATTTTAGGTTTTGCATATTTTAACAGACACTGTCCGGTGTTGTGATTTAGTATTCTGTGTCTGCTCTGCTGGGTTAGGGTCTTTCACGCTGACAGAAGTGAAGAGTCGTGTCCTACTTGATCTGCAGCAGACAGATGGGCTGACTGGTCTGGTGATAATAGTCGGGGTAGTCCTTCCTGGAGGGCAGCTGCAGGAAGGGTTCAGAAATCAGCTGGCCCTGACTGTTCCTGGCTCCTCTCACGGCCTCGTACAGTTGGAAGATGGGATTCGTCATGTCGATGTTGGACATCATACTCTCTGCCTCGGACTCCCCCTCATCGTAGTGGACGGACCCTAAGAAGTGCAGAGAAAGAACAATGCATACATCATTACGACATCAACCAGTAACATATTGCCTGTAGGATGCTGAAACAAGGACACACCAGAGAGTATACCCTCCTCATCGCTCTCATACTGCAGAGCCATAGTGATTGCGGAGAGGCGGTCTCCTTGAGCCGTCCTTTTATTCCTGACAGACGGACAAAGTGCTAAAACGGATCAACAAGCCCAACATAAACACTTGATTCCAGATGTTTGATACTTCGGTACCTGATGCGAATGCTGGACTTAATGGGCTCTCCGTGCTCCATCTCAGACTTCTTTTGTGCAAACGTCTTTTTAATGGTGTTAGCATCCTGGAGCACATGAGCAGAATGTGTCTGAGTGTGCTAAACGCCAGAAACAACAGGCTGAGGTCAAACTTTACCTTAAAAACCTGCGACCCAGGCTCGTTGTACGTTTTGGCATTCTTTACCAGCAAGTCGATGTCTTTAGCCATGGCACCGACACTCCTGTAGTGTCCCAACTAAAGATAAAAATGTCCGAATAGCCGGATTTTTGATCATTTAAAACACGACATCAGTAACTCTAAATTTGTTGGAAGTACCTGGATTTTCTGAGCGATGACCTTCAGATCAATCGGCTCCTTGATGATGGCGTAATAATCTGGATATTGCTAAACAAAAGAGATCAACTTTGAGTGACAGCAAAATGAGCCGTTGACCGGATGTTTGAGCGTGATACTGCAGGTGCTCGCACCACTTTGGAGGGAAGCTTCTGGAACAGCTCGCTGACCAGGCGACCGCTAGGCTCCGTGTAAGACACGACAGCATCGAGGAGCTGCTCCAGGACCTCTTTCAAACAGGCAGACACACTCTGAGATTCGAAAGAGGGTACAATGAGTACAAAAAGGTGTCAGAGCAAAGATAAGACTAGATCAGCGTAAACAACGTCAAACCAGACGGTAACGCTTTAAACTACTATTTATTTCATAAAACGTTGCTTTTAATCAGACGTGTTTGTGATCTTTAACACTGGTCTTCAGACTTTCTCAAAGTCTTCCAGCACTTTCTTTGGACTTTGGCTGCTTCCTCGCTCATTCACTGCCCCAGTCTTTTATAAGACTACCACACCAGACAAGTGAAAGCAGTGCCAGAACTACAGATCTGTCTACGAAGGAGGCAAACACCTGAGAGAGGGCCTCCTTCTTTAGCCGATCAACTACTTTGTGCTAGCTTTTCAATAATACCCGTTTGGAAATTTCATTTTGTGCAAAGAAACTCCTTCTTTGTCACCTCATCTTCAGTGGAGCCTCCAGGATTGTCTTGAGCATCGTATCCATCGTCGTCATCATCCTCGTACTCCCCTCGCTGGATGAACTCGTTCTTAGTCCGCAGGTAGATTTCCCACAGCTTACAGGCTGCCCTGTGTTCAGGACTGTCTGGCTACGTGTAAAACACGGACTCGTTTGATAACCAAACACAGATTTGATAATGTGAGTTGGAGCGTGTTGCGTTACCTTATAGTACATTTTTGCATTGTTGAACAGAAGCTGAAAGTCGCTGGTTAGCTGCTCCACGTCGTCGTACTCCTCCATCTTTAATTTCTGCTGGATCTTCATCATGTCGATGGGCTGAGACACCACATGGTAGTAGTCTGGTTGATTCCTAAAGCAACGAGGGACACTCTAGGTAGAGCTGCTGGTTATAAACATTGTTACATATTCATTTACTGGAGCCGATACCTTCGTTTGGGGGCTCTGATAAACAGCTCACACAGCATCCTGCCATGGTCATCCTTGTAGTCTCTGATTGTGTTGTACAGCTCATGACACACAGCAATCTGCAAGGAAACGTTTAAACGCTTACACACACTTCCTCATAATAACCACTTCTAACAAGATGTGTAGTTAGAAAAAAAATCACAGTTCCTTGTGAGGAAAAAAAAAACTGTAACTGGAATTTGTAAATTACAGGATCCACAGTTGGAATGTTTGAGGTCCTTCTCCTCTTTCTCCCAATTGAAGACATAAACGAAGTCTGGCTATCGTCAAAATCTCCTCCACTCACACTGCTAGAGGGGGACGTCGCCCGTCTCCTTTTCAAGGCCATGACGAACCCCTGGGAAGACAAACGCCAGCCGAGTAACAACATAGACAATACTGCTGATAATGGAACGGCACGAAAGGACTCACACAAACAGCACTAAAGGTTCAAGTTTGTAACGGAAGGTATAAACAAAGTTTGTCGTTCAACAAAGCACATTACATAATATCAGATGATGCGGCTCCCCGCAGATCCAGTAAATGAAATTGTTTCAAGTGGGTAAAATCCTATAAAAACTAGGGATGCAGGATAAATCAGCATCACACTGGTATCGGCCGATGATAGTTATCGTCTAACATATCGGTATTGATACGATAAGTAAAACTGGGCTGATACTAACAACTAATAGTTTTTTCCATCTGGTTGCTGTTTCTGTGTCTGTTTGGAAA